CACGTATCAGCAACAGCAGCAGCTTATGTACATCCTGTTAGAATCTAGAATAGAACGAGAATGGATGAAACTAGGTAGGAGGGGGATACAAGTAGGAAACCCTAACAAAGCTGTACCCCCTAAGGCTAAACCCACTATAGCCTACACAATATAAATATATAATGTTTGACACACCCCCATAGGCTAAGTGGGAGACAACCAGATGGTCACAAGACCAGTCAAAGCAAAGCAAAGCAAGCTCAGGGTGGATCTCAAGGAAACCACACAAATTCTGAGCACAAGCAAGTGGTCACAAGACCAGTTCACATGCAGGTTGATAGTATAACAAGAGATACAGTGATCACAACCTAGCAAGAGTAAACAAGCAGGTATATATACAGAGATCACAGTACAAGCAGAGTCAAGAAGTAAGCAAGTGAGGCCCAGTAGGCACGAGGCCTAGAACAGTACAGAAGCGCTGATGGTCACAAGGCTGAAGCGCCTTGGTGAACACATCAGCAGTGTTGGCCCGAGTGGCCACGTAACGCAGACGCAGCTGACCGCGCTGCTGCAGCTCTCGAGCAAGGAAGTAGCGCAGAGCGATATGCTTCGTTCTGTGCTCCAGTCTGTGCTCCTCACACAAGGCAATGGCAGCCTTGTTGTCGACGTACAGCACTGGAGGAGAACGAGGCCGCTCTCCCAAGTCGGTCAGCAGGTAGGTGAGCCAGCGTAACTCCTGTGCAGCCATGGCTGTGGCGTAGATCTCAGCCTCACAACTGGAGCTGAGAACAGAAGACGAGCGTGTAGAACGCCAAGAAACTGAACCAGAGCCAAGGCTGAAGGTGTAACCCTGAGACGACCGCTGAGTAGCCTGGTCGTCAGCCCAAGACGCGTCTGAGTGCCCAGTGAGTACAACTCGGTCTCGTCCTCCAAGCACTAGCCCCATGCCCGACGTACTGCACAAGTAGCGCAACACCCTCTTAGCGGCATCCATGTGCTCCTTCCGGTGACGGCCAGGAGCGACATAGCGTGCAAGGATGCTAAGAGGGTATGCAAGGTCAGGTCGAGTGCAGGTCATCAGGTACATGAGGCAGCCCACAAGCTCTGGATACGGGCCACTCGGCTCTACGGACTCATCCGAAGGCAGAGCTCAGAGCGAGTGACCGGTAGGCAGAGGAGTGGGCTGAGGCGAGGAGTACGTGAAGCGGAAGCGCTGAAGGACCTGCTGCACCATGTGTGACTGAGTCAAGGTGATGGTGCGCCGTGCTCTGTCCCGGGTGATCCGCAAGCCAAGATAGCTTGTCAATTCACCCAGGTCTGTGCACGTGTGTCTCTTCTGCAGCTCCGACTTCACGTGGGCGAGTGCCGCAGTGTCAGCAGTGGCAAAGACCAAGTCGTCGACGTACACGAGGATGTAGAACGGCGGCAGCGAGGTGTCGGTGCGTAGAAACAGCGACGGGTCAGCAGTAGAAGGAGCGAACCCAAGAGCCGCAAGTGTAGTCCTCAGTGTGTCGTGCCACTCACGTGGCGCCTGTCGGAGACCGTAGACTGGCCGCCGGAGGCTCCACTGGGTACCAGGAGGGAACGACCCAGTGAAGCCAGGTGGGCGGCGCAGCCAGATCTCCTCGTGCAGGCTGCCCTGTAGGAAAGCAGTGCTGAAGTCAAGAGAGTGGAGCTCGTAGTCACGCTGAGCGGCGACGTGCAGCAGAACCCGAAGAGTGGTCATCTTCGGGGTCGGGGAGAAGGTCTGGAAGAAGTCAACTCCCTCTCGCTGACTGAAGCCTCGTGCAACGTAACGCGCCTTGAAGACAGGCGGAGAACCCGGCGGCCGCTTCACCCTGAAAATCCACATGCCACTGACGATGTTCGCCCCAGGTGGGGGAACCTCGTCGACGTAGGTGCCTGTGGACTTCCAGGAAGCCATCTCTGCGTCCATGGCTGTCTGCCACTGAGAGGAGTAGGGACCCTCTATCGCCTCTGCGTAAGAGCGCGGAGTCGGGATGTCTGGTGCATCCGGGTCTCCCTCAGGGGCAACTAGCATGGACACGAGATGAGGTAAAGCAGCGGCAAAGCACTCAAACTCCTCCTGCCTGTCCTCAAGGACGTCCGAGCCAAGAGCACACTCACCCCCGACGGACGGAGGACAGACAGACTCAGACTCAGCAACTAGGCTAGCACACAGGTAGGTTTGCTGTTTCCGTACAATCGCCTCGTATGAAGGAGTACCTTCCACCCTTACGCTTTTTTAATGTTGTATGCAGAGAAGTGCTCGCGGTCAAAGAAGCCGCGATGAAGTTTCCGGACCTCGACATCGTCGATGACGCCATCCGTGGGCTTGGCGAAATCGTCATGCGATCTTCCGTGTGGCTTGAGCGCTTCAAGGAGCTCCAGCTCGAAATACATCAAACGAATCTGGAGCACCAGGGGCTCTTCGACGTGTGTTGGCTATCGCGTGGGGATGCAGTGGCCCGTCTGTGCAGAATTCTTGGGGCGGCGATCGTGGTGTTCATCGAGTACAACCACAGCATGGCGGTAACTGTGCAGACCCTGAAGTTTCACTTCTGCCTCTACTTCTTGGTGGATCTGCTGGCAGAGATAAACGCATTCAACAAGTTTTTCCAGCGCAAGAAAGTAAGTGTTGATTCACTGTGCATGTATTTCTTTTAGTCGCGTCATTTAATTCTACACTAACATTTAAACGTGTTGTTCATCTGCCCATCTTTGGTTCAGGTTGACATCACACTCGTGCACCAAGAGGTGGATCGCACGATTGGAGTCATCAGACTTCGATACATGGAATATGTGGACATTTTCGGAGGGGGGGTCAGCAAGCTGCTGTCGCCATTCATCGCACGCCTTGGCAGCGGCAGGCGAACGATCCGCGTGGACGGCACGGATGCGGATGGTGAGCCATCTTCACATCAGATCGTGCTGAGCAAGGCGCCAATAGCAAGACACCAATACGGCGGCTCGATGGCCGACTGCATCAAGTTGTGCAAAGCGTTCGCACTGGAGGTGGCGACAAACATGCACACTCGAATGTGGAGCTTGAAGCAAATGGAGGGCAGCAAGCTTTACAAAGTTGAAACATGGCCAGAAGCGACATACAAGCGGGAGCGTCGGGTGCTGAGTTGGCTGGATGCCAACGCGCGGCTCTTCAACAACCGGCTGCCAGGTAATTATCCACACGTGTTTTGTTTTGTTTTGTTTTTCGGCCTTTCTATTCACCAAATGTTGTCCCTCCAACACACGTGGCAGGCTTCAACCACCGAGTGGCAGAGCTCGAGCTGGCCAGCTTCTGCCACGTCATTGTCAGAATGTATTTGCTGTTCAGCCTGCAGTAGGGTACTCTGTAGTGAGTACAACCCAATTTAGGGTTTGCTATTTGTATCCCAACTTCCCATAGTGAAACCACCTCTTTCTCGATTCTCCCTTGCACAATCCTCTCGACACTCTAACCTAGCTATGGCTCCTAAGCCTAAGTCACGCTAGGATTCTCACACTCATGTCTCGCCACTACCAGGACGATGACTTATACCAGGGACTTAACAAAATGTTGAGGACCAAGGAGTTGGCCGCGCAGTTTTCCAAACCTGACGTCCATGTGGCAGGCGCTGGCAGTAATTCTGCTAAGTACCATGGAGTGCGAGCGCGGATTCAGCCGCCAAAACGTTATCAAAAGCTGGTTGCGAACATCGCTTGGTGACGCCCGGCTATCCGAACTGATGACCCTGAACATGTTGAGCTATTAGTACAATTGGCCCGAGGTGGTGGATATCTGGCGGAAGCAAAAAAAGAGAAGACCCGCAAAAACACCTGCCCCTCACAAGTCGTGCTCTGGAAAAGGAAAGGAAAGAGAGGAGTCGTCTGATGGTAGCGAGGATGAGCGTTCATTCATGTGATTGTTTGCTATATAAATAAAATATTGTTTCCCGATTTTTATAACGATTAATAATCTAAATTTGCGATAAGGGTACACAAAAATTCTACACTGATGCTCTGGGGTATTTATTTTTAATTCAATGTTACACTGATGTATCAGTGTAACGAAAAATTACACACTGATCAGAAGGGTTTTCAAAAATGCTACACTGCTAATCGTGAGTAGCCAAAAACCAAACATAGGCCCTGATCCTTTGCTAAGTCCCACTTGGGATTGTAACTGAATACAAAGAGAATCTCAACAAATCCGCGTGAGAACAAGTTTCCGCGTCAGTTGTAGGGGTTTTCTCACATCGACACAACACAATAGCTCCATACATAGCCCTAGCTTATACGGTAGGTGTCTGATCGGACTTCAACACGATAGTAAATTACCTGGTTTTCCAGGCAGATGCTGAACGGTGGAGTAGGCACTGGAACAGTGTAGTGCATAAAGACTGAAAGGCATGCACCTGGCCAGATAGTCAGCTGTAAAGTCAGTGAAGACAACACTATACTAACAACCCCCTCCCCCCCCCCCCCCCCCTTTCCCCTCCCACCCTCACCTTTCCACCCCTCTCCCCCTTCTTCCCCCGTCCTCCTGTCCCCTTTCCACTCTCCCATTCCCCCATATTCCTAAGCAATCGCAAACTTAGATGTTTCATTACAGCCCAGCACCAAAGCCCGCAAACAACCCTGCAGCATCCACAACCCTGCAGCATCCTCATCCTCATCCTCATCCTCATCATCATCATCATCATCATCATCATCATCATCATCATCATCATCATCATCATCATCATCATCATCATCATCATCATCATCATCATCATCATCATCATCATCATCATCATCATCATCATCATCATCATCATCATCATCATCATCATCATCATCATCATCATCATCATCATCATCATCATCATCATCATCATCATCATCATCATCATCATCATCATCATCATCATCATCATCATCATCATCATCATCATCATCATCATCATCATCATCATCATCATCATCATCAGCATCCTCATACTCATCCAGACCTGAATCAGCATTGTTTTGAGTCGACTCAAAAAGCTAACTTAAATGTTTCATTACAGCCCAGCACCAAAGCCCGCAAACGACCCTGCACCATCATCATCATCATCATCATCATAAGCATCCTCATACTCATCCAGACCTGAGTCAGCATCCCCCTTGCCATCCCCAACTGCACCCCTCGCATACCCGCTCCTCACCCCCCCATCAGAAGCCCTTGGCCCCACTCCTCCTCCCATTGATACTCCTCGCACTGCTCCCCCTCCTCTCCCCATCCCCCTGCCGCCTCCCCCTGTTACTCCAGGTGCATGCCGTGCCACGCTCTGTCTGCCCCCAGTCACTGCCATCCCACGCTCCTCCTCCCCTCCCTCCTCATCGTCAGTATCTGAGTAATCGTCAGAATCAATGTCGTCCGCGTTGCCACCACACAAACCATCCACCGCTGACCCTCTCTCGTACTGTACCCACCCCTGCTGCTGTAGCAACTGCTGCTGTTTCTGTTGTTGTTGTTGTTGCTGCTGCTGCTGTTTCTGCTCCTGTTGCTGCTGCTGCTGCTGCTGCTGCTGCTGCTGCTGCTGCTGCTGCTGCTGCTGCTGCTGCTGCTGCTGCTGCTGCTGCTGCTGCTGCTGCTGCTGCTGCTGCTGCTGCTGCTGCTGCTGCTGCTGCTGCTGCTGCTGCTGCTGCTGCTGCTGCTGCTGCTGCTGCTGCTGCTGCTGCTGCTGCTGCTGCTGCTGTTTCTGCTCCTGTTGCTGCTGCTGTTGCTGCTGCTGCTGCTGCTGCTGCTGCTGCTGCTGCTGCTGCTGCTGCTGCATGGAGTTATAACCCATCCCAGTGTATCCTGCCATACCTGCCGATCCCCTTCCTCTCCCTCCACTCTCGCCCCCTCCGCCTCCTCTGCCCCCAACCGTTCCTCGTTGCTCTGATCCCACACTGTAACCCGAACCACCCTCCCTTCTTTCCTCATCCTCAAACTCACCCTCCGCTTCCTCATATTCCTCCTCATCATCCTCCTCTTCCTCATCCTCCTCTTCCTCTTCTTCCTTCCTCTGTTGCCTCTGCTGCTGCTGCTGCTGCTGCTGCTGCTGGCGCTGCTGCAACAACTGCTGTTGCTGTTGCGAATGCTGCTGGTGCGGCGGAGGGTGCTGCGAGTTCGAGTGCTGCAGCTGCGGCTGCTGCTCCCGCTCCCGCTCCCGATCCTCCTCCTCCTGCTGCTTCTGCAGAGCTAGCAGCGCTTGCAGCCTGGCTTTAGAAGCAGAGATAGTCGAGGCAGGAGGGGAAGCCTCATCAGAAGATCCAGAGGAGCCAGACCCATCAGACATAGCCGAGCCAGTGAATTCCCTGATCTCTGGAGAGAGCTTGAACCGCACGGATCGACGCGGGGCGTCAGATGCCCCGCTCCCCGCCCCCCCAGTGGTGGCAGTTCCGCCGCTGCCGGTGTGTGGTGGTGTCGGGGTGTGCAGCGCTGATATTAGTGATGATGATGATAGTGACGATGAGGGTGGTGGTGGTGGTGGTGGTGATGATGATGAGAGTGAGGGTGTGCGATGGTCTCTCCCTCCGGCTGCTACAGAACCACCTGCACCCATTTGCTCATCCTCCTCCTCCTCCTCCTCCTCCTCCTCCTCCTCCTCCTCCTCCTCCTCCTCCTCCTCCTCCTCCTCCTCCTCCTCCTCCTCCTCCTCCTCCTCCTCCTCCTCCTCGTCCTCCTCTTCATCCTCCTTGTCATCCTTCGCTTCCTGCCCACGCTTGCCTGTAGCCTCCCCTCCTGAACTCTGCCCTTTCATAACAACACTGCCATCGTCATCATCATCCTCCTCCTCCTCCTCATCCTCATCATCATCATTACCTCCACCTGTGGCCAGACCACCAGCAGGGGGAGCGCCCGTCCCCACACCACGCATCCCCGCACCATGCATCCCCACACCATGCATCCCCGCACCATGCATCCCAACACCCCTGAGCCGGCTTGTATGCCCGCCCACGTCGCTCTCGCTGCTGCTCGTGTAATCACTGCTGTCGTCATATGCACCCCCCTGGTTGCTGTATGCACCTCTAGCACCCGCCGCCGCTGCAGCTGCCCTTGCTGCAGCTGACGCTGATGATGCTGATGCTGCTGTTGCTGGTGGTGTTGTTGCTGGTGCAACTAGTGTCAATCCAGTGTTCCCTTGACTGCTGCCTGTGCTGACACCAGCAGCACTCCTGCTACTGCTGTTCTGTCCCCTACCGCCGCCCAGCCTCCTCCTCCCCTCCTCCTCATCCTCCTCTTCCTCACTCTCCTCATCATCTGAACCATCCTCCGCATCTTCTCTTTGATACGAGCCACGAGCAGCAGCAGAAGCACCACCAGCAGCAGCAGCAGCACCACCACGACCACCGCCACTACCACTACCAGCACCGGCACCAGCAGCGCCAGCGGTGCTAGCAGCAGCACGAGTGTTCGAAGTAGGCTGATTATAAACAGAGAGATCCAAGCTGGAATGGTGTGGCTTGTCTTCTGATAACTGCGTGCTCACACTCGCACTGTCATCCGCACCATCATCATCATCATCATCATCATCATCATCATCATCATCATCATCATCATCATCATCATCATCATCATCATCATCATCATCATCATCATCATCATCATCATCATCATCATCATCATCATCATCATCATCATCATCATCATCATCATCATCATCATCATCATCATCATCATCATCATCATCATCATCATCTCCCCCTCCTGTGCTCCCATCCTCGCTCGTAGCATCTGAAACATCACCATCACCACCACCAGCACCCAACACTCGAGACCCACCACCAGCACCACCACCACCACCACCACTAGATGCAGCAGCAAACCCAGAGGCAGAACCAGAGGTAGTGGTAGATCCAACAGCAGACCCAGGTGCGTGCGTGCCTGTAGGGAGAGTGCTCTGCTTGAGAAAGTGCTCTTGAAGCATGCCTCCTGCCACATGGAACGACGTGGTTTTTACCAGGAATGGCAGTGACATCTCTAGTTCCGCCACGCTACAGCTCTGAGCTCGCAGCAAGCCGCTACTGTCCATCCCTCCTGCTCCATCCGCTCCTCCCGCTCCTCCTGCGGCTCCCATACCCGCCCTCGCTCCTCCCACCCCTCCTCTCGCTTGCGCCCCTGCTCCCCCTCCTCCTCCTCCTCCACCTCCCCCTCCTCCTGCCCCTGCGAATTTGGCAAAGAAGCTGCCACCGCTAAGAGGGCGGTTGTTAACATCCACTCCTGCCCCTGCTGCTCCTCCTGCTCCTCCTGCTCCACTACCGGTATACCCCCCCTTACCAGCGAAAATGCTGCTGCCTCCACCTCTGCCCCCTCCTCCTGCTCCTCCTCCTGCCCCGCCTCCTCCCGCTCCTGCTCCAGTCCCCCTGCCCGCCCCTCGCCCCAGCAGCATATTCTCTTTCCAGTGTGGCTTTGCTACAGGATCCATACTCACTGACCTTGCTAGTGCTGACGCTGATGCTGATGCTCCTGCTGCTCCTGCCGTGCTGCTGCCATGGCCCTTGCTGCCAGAAGCGTTTAGGGAGGACAAGGAAGCAGGAACCCATGGGAAACTCGAAGCAGTTGCTGCTGCACTTGCTGATCCGCCTGCTGTTGCTGCTGCACTGCTCTTGCTCTTGCTGTTGCTGTTGCTGTTGCTATTGTTGTTGCTGTTGCTCACACTGCTGGTGCTGGCACTAGCACCACCGCCACTGCCGCTGCCGCTGCCACTACCGCTGCCACTGCTGCTGCCACTGCCATTGCTGCTGCTGCTGCTGCCACTGCTGTTGGAACCAGGTGCAAGTGACTTCACTACTGCCCCTCCTCCGCCCCCTCCCCCTCCCCCTCTACCCCCTCCTCCTCCCCCTCCTCTCCCCCCACCAGCACCTCTCCCAATACCAACCCCACTCGTGTGTGCCTGATTCAACGCACCACCACCACCCCCACCACCACCTGCCAAGTGCGGTTGGAAAAACTGCCCTCCAACCGACTTGTGCCGCTGCAACCCCATCCCTCCCGCTCCCCCTCCCCTGCCTCCTCTCCCTCCTGCCCCACTCATATGAGCAGTCGACAGTGAGTGCTGCCGGTGATACTGATCCTTCACTGTCCCTGTCCCTGTCCCTGCGCCTGTGTTTGTGTTCGTGCCTATACCCATGCCTGTGCCGGGGGCACCACGACCAGCAGCAGCAGCACCTCTTCCTGTCACACCAGCACCATTGAATGCTGCTGCCCCGCGGCCACCACTGCCGGCCATACCAGGCACACCTGATCCCACCCTCCGTAGACCCCTTCCTGCTCCTCTTGCTACTCCTCCTGCAACTCCTACTCCTCCTGCTGCTCCTATTGCTCCTGCTGCTCCTCGTGCCTGCATCTGGTTCTGGTTGTGGCGGTGCATTCCCCCCTCCGGTACCCCGGATACCGCTCGCCGCAACCCCCTGCTTCCTGCCCCTGCTGCCCCTGCTGCCCCTGGTCCCCCGCCTCTCCCTGCTCCCCCCCCTGCGCCTCCCCACCCCGCCGCTGCCCCTGCCCCGCTTTTTGCCCTCTCACCCGGCACACCTGACACTGCCCGCTGTAACGCCCGCCCCCCCGCCGACCCTGCAGCCGCCCCGCCTCCCCCTCCCCTTCCGCCTCCGCCCAGAGCTCCCCCTGCCCCCCCAGCACCCGTGCGCGCCACTCCTGCTCCTTCTCCTCCTGCTGCTCCTCCTGCTGCTGCTACTGTTCGTGCAAGAGAGGAGGATAGGGTGTGGCCGTCTGGCACCCCTGACACTGCCCTGCGCAGCCCACGCATGTTCGCACCAGCCGAAGCAGCACCACCAGCACCAGCACCACCACCAGCGGTACCACCACCAGCAGCAGCAGCAGCAGCAGAGCCCATGCGTGCTGCTGCAACAGCAGAAGCGCGATCATCTGGCACCCCTGACACTGCCCTACGCAGCCCTCTCATACCCACCGCACCGGAACCACTCCCGGCAAACCTACCAGCAGCAGACGCAGCAGGGGCAGCAGAAGCAGCATTAGCGGCGGCGGCCGAGTCGCCTGCTGAGGCTGGGCGTTTGAGTGTGGGGCTGTTGTTGCCGCCCAGGGAAGCATCGTCTGATTCAGCATGGAACGCGAAGCTCCCACTCCCTGCCGCACTGAAACTCTTCACTGCTGCTCGCTTCGCTGCTGCTGCTGCTCCTGCTGCTGCTGCAGCCGCCGCTGATGCTGCTGCGGCCGCTGCTGCAGCAGCAGATTTTGAATCTCTTGCCGTAGCACTCTCCCCTCCCCCTCCCCCTCCTCCTCCTGCTCCTCCTCCTTCCTCCGAGCCATCGTGAAACGCAAAGCTCCCAGACCCTGCAGCGGAAAACACCCCGCCTCCTCTCCCTCCTGCCCCTCCTGCCCCATCACCCCCTCCCCGCATTCCCCCTCCCCCTCCTGTTGCCAGCAGCGCCATCGCCCGCCCCCTTCCCCCTCCCGGGACCCCCCCGCCTGGTCCGCGTCCCCTCCCCCCGCTGCGCCCCCCCACTCCCCCGCGCCCCCCTGCTGAGTTATGCGGAAATGGGGCGGATGCAGAGGAGGAAGGGGACGCCCCTACCCCCCCTGCTGAAGAGGTTCGGGCCGAGCCAGAACCCGAGCCTGTGGACCGGGGAGAGCTGGCGCCTGAATCCGATTCGTCCGAAACCGAATCGTAATCAGAATCGGATTCGTCGTCTGGATGTTGCGGCTGGGTGAACGGCTCACCAGCAGCAGCAGCGGCAGCGGCAGCGGCAACGGCAGCAGAGGCAGAAGCAGCAGCAGCAGCTCGCTTTGCTGCCCTTGCGTCTATGCGTGGTGATGATGATGAGTCTGAGGAAGCAGAAGAGTGTGAGGAAGGAGAATCCTCATCGTCAGTGCGCTCCAAGGGACGAGCAACACCAGTAGAACCACCACCACCACCGCTACCACCACCGCTACCACCACCGCTACCACTACCACTGCCGCCAACAGCAGCAGCACCACTACCAGCACCAGGCGCAGCAGCAGCAGCAGCAGCAGCGGAGTGATTAAGCCCTGCAGACAGCATATCCTGCTCGTGATGCACTATACCATCAAAAGACGGCGACAGCGCAACCGAAACTCCCCCACTACCCCCCCTCGACCCTCCCCCGCCCGCTCCCGCGCCCGCTCCCCCGCCCCTGCCCCACGCCTCCGCCCCCTGCCGCCTTGGCACCTGAAGGTTCCCCAGACCCGCCGCCCCCCTCCGCCCCGGTTTCCCCCCCTCGTCTTCAAATGACATGGACGGCTGTAGCAGCGAGTCAGTGCACGACCCCTGCCGCCACATCTTCCCCCGCGCCTCCCCGCCCGCCTCCTCCCCCGCCGCCGCTCCCGCCGTCGCCCCCGCCCGTCCCCCTTGCCCCGTTACCATACCTGGCAGCGCCTGCCCCGAGGCTACTGACAAGGCTCGGCTCAAGCCTGTCCCAGACCTGCCGCCCACCCCTTTTGCCCCGAACGAGCTCGACCGCCCCGCCTGGGCGGGGGACGCGGAAGGCATACCCGCGCCCCCTGCTCCCCCCGCGCCCCTTGGGCCGATCCCTCCCCCCGCGGCGCTGCTGCTGCTGTTAGTGCGCAGGCGCGCGGTGAGCTCAGGCTCGGTGTCCGCCAGGCCTAGCAGGCGCGGAGTGGAGTGCGGAACCCCCGCGGAGAGGGAGGAGTCGGGGGGGAGGGACGCGGCGGAAAGGAGGACCCCCACGTCCATGGAGCTATAGCGCTGCATGGCGGAAGAGGCGGAGGAGAGCGCGGGGGAGGAGGACGGCGGTAAATGCAGGGATTCTATCCGCGCCATGCCTCCGCTTCCCCCCGCTTCGCCGCCTTCCCCTGCTCGCGCTCCGCCTCCTCCGCCTCTTGCTCTTCCGCCCCCGCCGCTTTGGCCCCCTCCTCCGAAACCCCCCCGCGCCCCACCCGCGGAAGGCGCGTGTGAGTCCGAGGAGCTGGCGGCGGGGCTGGGCGGAACGGAATTGCGCCCCGCGGGGACCATGGCTTGCAGTTGCACCAGTCCGGGGAGCGGGGGGAAGCAGTTGCTGCCTCCGCTTCCGCTCACGGTGCTTCCGCGCGCGCTTCTCCGCGATGACGTCACCGAGTCCGGGCTGGACGGCGAGTAGTTGTTCCCCCCGCCGCCCCCCGCCTCGCGCGCGCTTCTCCCCCCTCCGCGGCCCCCTCCCGCGCTTCCCGACCCCGCGGCGGACGCGCCTGCTCCGCCAGCTTTCCCCGCAACCGCCGCAGGCGCAGATACGCCGACTGCCTCCAGCCCCGCGGTCCACGCGGACGCGCGCTCCACGCTCTCCGCCAGCGCGCGGCTGTTAAACCTTCCGCTTCCGCCGCCGCCCGCATCGGGGCTGTCCGCCAACCCAGGCGGGCTGTCCGCCAATCCGGGGGGGCTTCCGCTTCCGCCGTGATCCTCCGGGCCCGCGCTAGACACGCTCTCCCCGGGGGCCAAGGGGAGGAGACCCAGAGACTTTGCCGCCTGTAGGCGCTGAAAGGCCTTCACCTGCCCCGCACTCCCCGGACTCGCGCTGCCGTCCCCCCCGCCATAGTCACTCCACGAGTTGGACAGCTGTCGGCGGACGGACGGGTGCAGGCCGCCTCCGCCGCCGCCGCCACTGCCGGGGCTGGGGGAGCGCGCGGAGGGGGAGATCAGTCCGGACGGGGAGAGGAGACCGCTTCCGCCTTCCGTGCGCACGTGGCGGGGGACCGGCATGGAGGACGATGATGACGTGGCTCTCGCTACGGCGCCCGCGCCCGCGCCTTCCGCGCCGCCTGCGGCGGCTTTTTCGAGCGCCGCGGCGGCGGTTTCGAGGGAGGCTGCGGCGCGTTCGCCCATTCGCGCGCACTCTTCTCGCGCGCGCGCAACTTCTTGCCACAGGCGCGCAATGTCCTCGCGCAGGCGCGCGGCCTCGTGGTGCGCCTGCGCGGCCTCGCGGAGCAGCTCCGCGCGAATGGGATCCGCGGAAGGGCCGTGCGCTGAATGGGCGGAATGCGCAGACTGGGCGGATTGGGCGGAAAGGTTCCGCTCGTCCAGCGACTGCGACTGCGGATGCGCGTACATTTTCGTCGCACGCTCTTCCCGGCTAACGCCGTGCGAATGTGACTGCGATTGCGACTGCGACTGCGACTGCGACTGCGATTGCGACTGCGACTGCGACCGCGATGCCGCTGACGTGTCATGCTCTGACGAGTTGCCGTTCTGAAGCTGCAAAGGAGGCGGCCGCCGCGCAGACGCTCCTCCGTCCTGCTTCCCCGTATCCGCCGCTCCCCCTCGTTGCGCGCTGCGCGCCTGTGCTGATGCCGTCGGCGGGGAGGACTGTTGCGCGCTCATCCGCGAAAGCTGCTGCTGCTGCTGTTGCGGCTGCTGCTCCTGCGGCTGCTCCAATGACGAGCCCGAATCCCCCTGATCGCGGCCTCGAGCACCCTTCGAACCGGCTCCGCCCGCGGCGGCGGCGGCGGCGGAGGCGGCGGCGGAAGCGGCGGGTTGGGTGCCGTTTGCGCCTGCGACAACGAGCCCGTGTTGCTCTATGAGGCTCTGCTGCTGCTCCACCATCTGCGCGTATAGCTGCGAAAGCTTTAACTTGGGCTGGTTACCCTGGTTACCCTGGTTGTTAACAACCCCGGATGCCACCGCCCCTGGCACCGCCTTGTTGACGAGCCCTGACATGCCGTTGCCTACGGCCTTTGCAGCTGCTGATTGCGCGCCGCGAGGGCCGCTTCTTGAGTCGGAGTAATCGGCGTAGTCGGAAGTTTCCGCGAAGCCGTTCAGCTGCTTGCTCAGCGCGGGAACGGCGGCCATCGCGGCAACTGCGCCGGCGGCCTCTTGGGCACGATGTTCCCCCTACCGCCGCGGCGTCGGCGCGTTATGCGACGCGGAACGGACGGTGAACGAGATCATTTTGATGCTGTTCTATCCTTAGCACGACACACAAGGGAAATGCAGGAATAAGTTAAAGCCGCAAGTTGGAGAATTGGGCAAGAACTAACACGGCATTAAGACTCGTCAAGAGCATGCCTGCGCGTCACCTAACGCATGCACTCTAGTCGAGAAATTAGTCTCTAAGGCCGGTCTGTCAGTAGTATGTAGCACGTACTCAACTTGTAGTTTCCCTCCCATGCCACCACACCACACCACACATATCCCACCAGCAAGTAAAATTTGAAGCTGACAAAGACGCACACATGCATTTGGTTCGGTTTCGATTGTTGCGCTCCCCGTCCTCTCCCCTCCCCTCCCAACCACCTAACCACGCCACACCACCACCACTCAACCCAGCCTCACCCTGACCTGCCAAACCTGACCACGAACGATAGCCGCAAAGCCGCGCTGCAAACTGGAAAACCCGAACTGGGGCGGGGCGGAGCGAGGGGCAGCAACAAACAACTCACGACACGGAAGCAAAGGAGAGTGGAAGAGAGCTTGGAGAGCGTTTGAGAGGGTTGCAGCTGGTTAGAAGAGGGGCGCGGAGGGATATAGGTACAACGGGATTGGATGGGGTGGTTGGGGAATGGGATGGCTTGGGGCCTTGGGATTGGGTGGGACGAGCTCCTGGCTGTTGGCTGCGGCGGGGAGAGGCGAGGCGAGGATTTGGCACGAGCGATAACAGTTTGTGTGGAGTGTACTTTACAGTACAACACGACAGTGTACACGAACAGTTTCGTCCGCTCGCTTGGTGTCCCCTCAGTTTGCTAAGTGCGAGCATTTCTTTCCGTGGCTCGCTCCAAACCAACTATAAAGTTTTTCACATTCATCTCGGGCGGGACTGATCTGTTCAGTAACTAGCACGAGGAGAAACCCTAATAAAGTAGCCCCCCTGGGGTGTTGCCACAAGAGAATGTTACCTACACGAGATCCCAATTTTCCTAGAATGTCTCATATGTACGGCGGGAAAATTCCTCAAGTCGTGACACAACTAGAAACAGTATTCACCCTATATTATTAGCGCAACCAGTAGTATTGGGATGCCAAATGATCAGATCGCCCACGCTAGTCAAGAATCGCGATTAGTTTTGGGTGTCTGTCTTCCTTTATTCCAACAAACAGTAGCAGTAACGCTTGGTTGCTGTTGTTGTGCCAAACAAAGACGCCACGTTGGTACAGAAGCTAGGTAAGGAACGGGTACACTACTACAAAGCTAGTTTACGTATGTTATAAAACCAAGTTTCCAGCTCAAATCTCTAGACATTGACACAAGAGGTTGTGACGTTACGTATCCTACCCTACCAATTACAATAACTAAACCTTCTCTCAGACTTCAAGACACCTTGAAGCAATCTCTAAACACACTTCACCCAGCATTTCCCTCCCATGCCTTTGTCACATTACCTTACATGCTTTCCTCCTCCTCAACGTCTTCCAGGTTGTCTGGCACGTTAAGCTTCTCTATGAAGGCCTGCCAGATGTGAGCAACCAGCAGCAGAGAAGAGCAGGCAAAGGCGTGCAGGGATGAGTCGACCAAAGACGGGAACCAGGCAAAAGTGCCAAGATAATAAAGAGAACTAGTGAATGGGACGGAGGGGAGGGAGGGGGGGTAGGAGAGGCGGGCGGGATAGATGGAGGTGGAAAAAGAAGACTGTGAGAAGAAACATAACACACAACTAGTATCAGCCCAGTGTACTGGCGAATGGAGTGCGGCAGAAATTTGGAAAAGGTGGAGCAGAAATAACAAGACAGCGCACAGCACTGCATGACACTTTAGTGCCTCCATGCAATGGCTATCACCATATAACGAATCCCACCTTTATGAGGTTGACTTGCTGTGCGGGGGGCTTCAAGTCCAGCGCACAGTTGAGGTGCATCAACGCCTCCTCTGGTCGGTCCAGCTTCTTGCAGATCTGTTTCAACGAGCACGGAGCATTTAGGAAACAGAAAAAAGGATAAGACAGGGCATTCTTTATTACAATGAATTGTTGCTGCAGGCTTCCATTCCCAGCGTATAAACCATCTCAGCTCCCCACAGGCCTCCATCCCTACCCTCCCTTAACCATCCCCATCCAACGCCCGACCACCCCTCCCCACGCCCTCCCACCATCCTCCCGATTCCCCTCCCCCCACTCTCAACCCCCCAACCCCCGTACCCCACAACTTTCAGAAACCTATCCATTCCAGCTTAGTGCATCTCACCTTGCCGAGGAGGAAGTAGACGGAGGGCTCTCGGGCAGCCATGTGCAGCAGCTGCTTGGCAGCGTGGAGTGCATCCCCCAGCCGCTCATCCCCCAGCAGCATGTACGCGTGCTGGAACACTGGCAGCGGGTTGCGCTGCAAATGACTCAGCTATCCACACGCCCCTCCACCCCTACCCTGCCTTACCCACTTTCTTATCCCCTCCCCCCCACCCCTTCCTCCTAACACACACACCCTCCCACCGTTCTCCCATTCCCCTCCCTCTCACCCCCTAACCCCCTAACTCCACTCCCTTCCAAAACCTATCCTTCCCAGAGCACCTCTCCTTGCTGGTGCATCTCACCTTGCCGAGGAGGAAGTAGACGGAGGGCTCTCTGGCAGCCACGTGCAGCAGCTGCTTGGCAGCATGCAGCGCATCCCCCAGCCGCTCGTCCCCCAGCAGCATGTACGCGTGCTGGAACACTGGCAGCGGGTTGCGCGGGTCCAGCCGCATCGCATGCTGCAGGGATGCATGGGCGTCGCTGCTCCTCTGCATGGAGGAAAAGAGGAGAAGGGGGAAGGGGGGGAAGAGGGGGGCAGCCAATTTGGCAAGGAATTGGGGGGCAGGGTGGTTGAATGAAGGGGTTTTCTGGGTCCAGCCGCATCGCATGGTGCAGGGATGCATGGGAGTCGCTGCTCGCAAGGAGGAAGACACAAGGAACTAGAGCATAGGGGTCCGACCATTTGACAAGGATTGACAAACAGCATATACACACACATTCAGTGAAAAACGGGGAGGAAACGTTTCACATGTAGACGACCAGAATCAGGAGTAGATCTAGGTGGCAGAGGGGAAGGCGCGAGAGGGTTACCTTGAGGGAGTGCAGGCAGACGCCAAGGTAAGTATGCAGCACGGACGAGTGGGGGTTGACAGTGAGTGCGGTGCGGAAGTGGTACTCTGCCAGATGGAACCGCTCCTGCCTCATCAGCACAGACCCCAGGCCGTACCTGGTGGTTGTCCCAGGGGGGAGAGACAGAGACAGACACATCAAGAGAAAGACGGATTGATAAGATTTTCCCTCGTCGGGTTGGAGGAGGAGGCGGGGAGAAACGGCCGTGGGATGGTCTAGGAAAAATCAGCAACGTGTGGACTGGACTGGATATACACCTGCTTTGACAGTCGATCTGTTCGGGTCTGTTTGGGTCCTCTAAAGGCGATGGCCTGCATTCTTCAGTCGGCTAAAAAACGCGTCCTCTCTAGGCCATGGCCTTCATGAGAATGCACATCGCTCTCAGGCACTCCCATTCAGGCACTCTCACTGAATGGGCCCGCCACTAAAGAATGCGCTTGCCACACCCCTCTCTCTCACCATGCATTGTAGTGGCGGGCATCGAGGCGAATGGCCGTGCGGAAGCAGAGGGCAGCGTCCTCCAGCTCCTCCATTGCCGCGTACCTGATGGCACACAGGGGAGAGACGGGACACAGAGGAGGGAAGGGAGAAGGGATGGGGCACGGGAAGAGGGAGAGACTTTTGAATCGACTCAAAAGGCGGAGCACGGCGTCCTCCAGCTCCTCCATTGCCGCGTACCTGATGGCGCACAGGGGAGGGCGGTGGCGCACAGGGGAGGGCGGTGGCGCACAGGGGAGGGAAGGGCGGCAGGGTGGGGCACGGGAGACGGAGAGGGGGAGGGGGAGCAGGAAAGGGAGTGAAACGAGGGGCAGAAAGCGGTTGTTCATTCCCAGGACCTCGGATTCGACAACAGTAACGTTGGGTGCATGTTGGGGGGGGGTTTGCGGACAACAGTAACGTTGGGTGCATGTTGGGGGGGGGTTTGCGGACAACACTAACGTTGGGTGCATGTTGGGGGGGGGTTTGCGGACAACACTAACGTTGGGTGCATGTTGGGGGGGGGTTTGCGGACAACACTAACGTTGGGTGCATGTTGGGGGGGGGTTTGCGGACAACACTAACGTTGGGTGCATGTTGGGGGGGGGTTTGCGGACAACACTAACGTTGGGTGCATGTTGGGGGGGGGTTTGCGGACAACACTAACGTTGGGTGCATGTTGGGGGGGGGTTTGCGGACAACACTAACGTTGGGTGCATGTTGGGGGGGGGTTTGCGGACAACACTAACGTTGGGTGCATGTTGGGGGGGGGTTTGCGGACAACACTAACGTTGGGTGCATGTTGGGGGGGGGTTTGCGGACAACACTAACGTTGGGTGCATGTTGGGGGGGGGTTTGCGGACAACACTAACGTTGGGTGCATGTTGGGGGGGGGTTTGCGGACAACACTAACGTTGGGTGCATGTTGGGGGGGGGTTTGCGGACAACACTAACGTTGGGTGCATGTTGGGGGGGGGTTTGCGGACAACACTAACGTTGGGTGCATGTTGGGGGGGTTTTGCGGACAACAGTAACGTTGGGTGCATGTTGGGGGGGTTTTGCGGACAACAGTAACGTTGGGTGCATGTTGGGGGGGTTTTGCGGACAACACTAACGTTGGGTGCATGTTGGGGGGGTTTTGCGGACAACAGTAACGTCTAATTGTCCGCAAAACCCCTTCACCATGCACCCAGTCCTCTCCATCCACAACCTTCCCCATTGCATCCCCTCTGCTCCCCTCTTTTTCCCGACATGGACACCAACCCTCCGCACCATTCACCCCTCCCTCGCCACACATTGCTAATGCATCCCCACACCACAATCACAGCACAGACAATATGCACCCCCCCACTCACTGCACCACCATGCCATTGCATCCAAACACACACACACTCACTCATGGCCACAGAGGGTGTGCGCATAGGTGAAGGAGGGGTCCAGCTGCGTGGCTCTTCGGAAGAACTTGAGCGCTGCCTCGTGCTGCTTGGTGAGACTCATGAGGTTACCACTCACACACCTGAAGGGGGGGGGGGAGGCGGCGGAAAGGGAGGAACGGGGAGGGGAAATATAGGCAGAGAAAAGATAGACAGAGGAACAACCTGCAGTAGATTCCCTACTCAGATTCATTTTGAGGGTCTAAAAACATAAGAACCTTGGCGAGGGGCTGTTGTTGCCTAGGGAGACATACGGTCAACAACTTCTATGGCCACTTCTTACATGACTTGGGGTTCATCTAAACAACTCCTTCACACCGCACACCACTCCTTCAACAGTCCACTCCACCCCACTGCACCGCACTCGACCCAACCCACCATGCCTGGGGAGCCATGCGGTCCACTGCTAACGCCTCTTGAGCCAGCAGACTTAGCTGCACATCCTTGCGCATGTGCTGGTGATAGGAGACAAGGGCCATGGGGACAAGAGGGGTGAGACACGGGGAAAAAGCATAGAGTTTTACGATGTCTCAAAGCCGACAGACTGATAGGAGTCAGGGGCCATGGGGACAAGAGGGGTGAGACACGGGGAAAGGAACCGGCCATGAGTGAATGAGTGAGTGAGTGGTTGGTGAATGATGAGTGAATGCGTGAGTGAAAAAGTGAGTGAGTGAGGTCAGAGACAGAAGGGGGAACTTACGAACAGCACAGTGGAGTAGATGTCAAGGCCGTCCACATGGCAAGGGCTGGCCTGGCGTGCCATTTCAAACACCCTCTCCGCCTCTCCATACTGCACCATGTCCACATATGCCCGGCCCACCTGCAGGAATGCACAGAAGGGTTATACACACACATACACATAATATGTACATATATATACATATATACATACATATACACACATTTAAGAACTGACCTGAAATTTATTTCACCATACTGCACCATGTCCACTAATTTCAAGGCGCACTAATGATCTCAGATGCTTTTTTGCGCTAGTTGGTGTTATGCCGTAACACTGACAGTGTAGTGTACACTAAACTCTAACTGTACACTAACGCACCTGCACCAACACCCAGTGTGTGTTGTACTGAGAAGCAGGGAGCTCAGAGAATGCCTCAATTGCCTCCTGGCACCACACAGACACCAGAGGAAAAGACAAGACACCAGGACAGGGAAGGGGTGGGGCGAATGGGCAGCACAGGGGGGAAGGGAAGGAGATCTTGATGGGAGAGCAGCAGGGAGAAGGGGCAGAGGCGGGAGGAGAGCAGGGTGAGGCGGAAGGGTGCTGGGTCACTGGGTGATGCATTGCGGAGGGGCGAGTTAGGTTGAGAGGGAGCAGCCAGAGGAGGCAATGTGAAGCAGCCAAAGGACAAGGAGACACTGGTAGGGTTTGGCCTGCGTGGAGCAGGAAGGGTGAAATGTAAATCACTCACTCACGACATTTCCTTCTTGCCTCTCAATGACAGTGGGATGGGAAGGCAGACAAAACGCTAGGACGCCAGGGAGAACCAATGGAAACGTCAGTCGAGCACATGCTTCTCTCAACCAAATTACTTCACCTTACAGCACCCATAGGCACCCCACAACACTGACAGAACCGAACAGCACCCCACAGCATCATATGACACCCCACAGCACCGCACAGCATCCCACCGCAGGCCTCACCTGGCATCGCATCATGCAGAGCAGCAGGAACGCTCGTCCCACTTGCTTCAGCAGCCGCACTGCTAGCAACGCCCCACTCTCCCCTCCCTTTCCTACCCCTCCCCCTGCACTCCCATCCTCCCCTGCATCCCCATAAACCCCTCCCCCGCCACTCTTCGCCCCCCCTTGCCCACTCTCCGCCTCGTCCCCTCCTTCCCCCTCTCTCCCCCCTCCCTCTGCGCCACTGCTCCCTCTTCCCAACGCGCCTCTCCCTTCCACCTCCTCGCCTGCTCCTGCTCCCCCTCCCCCTATCCCTCCTGCAGCACTATCAGCAGACGAAGCCCCACCATTGGAGGCATGGCTTCCCCCTCCCGACTTTTCTCTCCCAGGCTGCTGCAGCTGCCGAGCCTCCCTGTCCTCTTCCCGAGCCACTTGCTTCGGCTCCCAATCCTGTGGTGTTGCTCCAGGAAGGTCAGCTGCGGTGTGAGGAGTGGCGGATGGGAGATTGGAAGGGAAGTATGGAAGGAAGTGTAAATGGGGAGGCGAAGGGAGAGGGGGCTGCTACTCCTGAACCAGAAGAAGAAACAGCAGAGGGACCAGCAGGAGCAGACGCAGAAGCAGCAGCAGGAGCAGCAGCAGCAGCAGTAGCAAGAGAAGCTGAAGGCACATGTCACCGCCACTGGCAGACCCACCTGATGCTGTAGACGCCCTGCCTCCTCCTCCTCCCCCACCACCACCAGCAGCTGCAGCAGCACTGGAAGGAGGTGCAGCGTCATTTCCCAGATCCAGAGAGGGCATGGCTGGGATAGAATGCAGAAGGGGTTTGCGGGCTGATACACGGGGAGGGGAGAGCAGAGGAGGAGAGAGGAAGAAGGAGAGCAGGGGATGGCCGTCAAGAGCAGGGGAAAAGAAAGGATGATAACTGTGAGTGGCAGCAAAGGAAGGGAAGGGGCGGAGGGGAAGGGTGCAGGGTAGTGAAGATAGACATGTAGACTAGAAAGAAAACAAGGGAGGGGACCGGGAAGCGTGGAAAGAGGAGGGGGAGAGGGGCGGGAGGGGAAGACGGGTGGGGAGATGAAGGGTGGCCAGTAATTGTAAGAAAAAGGCCAGACTATTGAACGGTCACCTCAAGCTTCTTAGAGCAAGTAAGAGTTTCGCATTCTCTTCACTTCGTGCACAACCATTCCCACCTGGACTAGACCCATCCGTCGTCCGGCGAGCCACAGAGCCCCTACTCGTCCCTCCTCCTCCGCCCCCTCCTCCTCCTCCAACCCCGGTGCTTCCCCGAGCGGCCGATGCCGATCCAGCAGCAGCACCAGCAGCAGCGCCCCCACCTGCTCCGCCCTCTGCTAGCCGCGTGCTGCGTCGTAGGGTGCTGGGCTCAGCAAACAGACGACCAGCCACCTGGGAGGAAAGGGGGCCAGGAAGAAAAGGTATGCAAGTACTTCAGAAACGTCTTGAAACGTCCTAACTCCTCTCTCCCTCCCCTAACGGCACGCACTGCACCACCCACACTCACAAAACTGCACCCTCCCCTCAGCCCGCCACTCAGCAACCCCCGCCCCCCTCACCTTCAGCTCCCCCACACCCCGTCCCGGTCCACCTCACCATCCGTACCCCTTTCCCCACGGCCCATACTCCCTCCCAAGCTCACATTTCGCAGTCTGTTTTCGTCCACCATCTTGCGGCGGTGGGCCATGCGAGTGGCAGCACTCACAGCCGGCGCCACAGGCCCAGCAGGGGTGCGAGGCGAGGCCGTGTCCCTCCACGTGCTCACCACTGCCTCCTGCACGCGCGCACACACAGAGAGGCCCGCAAAGACGCAGTGATTCAAGCAGGGCAATTAACATAGGGGTTGAGACTGACCCTGCACATGCCCACCACTGCATACACAGCATAGCACACGACAGCCCAGAAAAGATAGCGAAGGGCTAGGCAGAGTCCCTGCACCGTGCAATGGAAACAAAGTCACCATGTTTCCCAAGCTGGGCTTGCACCAGCAGTACATACAGGAGGCGTGACATAGTTTGAAGCCGCATTCAACGCTTGCTGTGCCGGCTGCTGCTGCGGTGGCGCTGTCCCCTCTTGCACTTGCTCCTGTCCCTGTCCTGACTGCTGCTGTTGCTGCTGGGAACACTGCTGTGGCTGTTGCTGCTGCTGCTGCTGCTGGACTGACACCTCCTGTTGAACCCTCTGCTGCTGCTGCTCCATGTGAAAAGCAGCAGTTTCGTTGAATGCTTGTGACGCTTCTGCTTCCGCTCCTGAAGGGATGGGAGTGAGAAGGGGGTGTCAAGCGAGCGAGGAACAGTGAAAATGGGGGAGAAGCAGCAGCATCAGTAAAGTGAAAAGGCAGATGAGTGGAGCAGCCCAAAAGGAAGGGCAGGGAAAGGAGAGTCGACAGAAACGAGACACAGACTGGGTAGGTGGGGCAGAAAGAGACACAAGTGCGTGCACGGGAGAGTGTGGCGGAAAGGAAGGGAGGGAGGGAGGAGTACCAAGGATGCAGAGCTCCTCGTATGCAGACCAGAAGAATGGGTCCAACGCAAGGGCGGATGTGAAATGGCGAATGGCCACCTGACGCCGGTTAGTAGCTCTGCCGTTCACGCAGCGGGGGGGACGAGGGGAGGAGGATGAGTGAGTGTGAGGGTAGGAGGAGAAGCGACAACGGATGGAAGAGTGACACGAAACGAGCATGAAAGAGGGCAATTTTGAATGGGTGATGTGATACTCACTTGCAGATTAGCCCCAGGAGGTATAGGCCTGCCGCACCATTGGGCACCTGCGGCTGCAGCAGGCGAAAGGCAGCAGAGGAGAACCGAGATAGAATGGTTTGTTTCACTATATTTATCCTGACGGGATGCAGACTTGAGACGTGAGCGGGACTCTCAAGACAATCTGCACCGAGATCGCTCACCTCATGAGACCGCTGTGCAGAGGCAGCCGAAGGCGAGGAGGCAGGAGAGGAGGAGGAGGCGATGAGGGAGTGGAGCGAGGGAGGTAGGATCATAGACGACGGGTTGGGCTGCAAGGCTGCTTCTGCTTCTGTGAGCAGCTGCAGGTCGTAACACGCCAGTGCCAGCAAGTAACGGCTCTGGTCAGACGGTAGCCCTGAACGGCAGTAACGGGTCGAATAGGTGGTGTTGGGTTGATTGAGAATGATAGAGAATGCGAGGCGAACCACGCTAATGTGTTGAAAGAACCAAGGGATGTTATTACGGTGATGGCAAGGTCAGGAAAGCACAAGATGCAAGATTTACAAGCAGTGCCAGGGCAAGGATTCGACAAGGTGGCACGATGGATGCAGCGAAGTCCAATTTAAAAGAGAATTCATGTTCAGAGAGGCAGTCTCTTGCGAATATACCTTTGAGAACGTGTCGTGCAAGCAGAGGCTTGTTAGCCCTCAGGTAGCAGGAAGCCAGTAACTGGAAATTGGGCTGCGGAACACGGCACCACGGAGAATGACAGCAAGACGGTACAGCGGAACCGCACAAAGGACAGCTGAGAGAAACGAACAAAATTACAGCCTTAAACAGCGGCATCACTTTATATTTTCTGGCACAAACGCATTCATGGCTGTTGCGGTGAGACTGGGACCATCTAGAAAGTTGTATGGCTTTATGGCAGCTGAATAACCTGTAACGGAAATCCACGATGGGCCTCACATGTTTCTTTAGCATACACGCATCTATGCCTGTCGCGGTGAGTCTGGTAACATTCGGGTAGGTGTATGCATTTCATAGCAGCTGTACATCTGTACCAGAGATCCAATCAGGTATGCGTGTGTCTTTCATAGAATCTGTGTGACCTGTAACGGGGATCCATTCGGGTAAACGTATGCGTCCGTAACAGCTGCGTGACCTGAAACAGGGATCCATAATAAGCCTTTACCTCGTTCGGGAACGACGCGCAGAGCCGCTCCGCTAAGAAAGTCGCATTCCGCACGCAGTGGAGAGAGAGCGAGCGTGACACGCACGAGGCGAGCCACGCCTCCATGGCCGATGCTCGTGTGTTAATGGAGGCTGCTAAACCGACACTCGCGTGGAAATGAAATCTCGTCGGTAAGTCGGTGAGCCGGTGAGAACAGAGTGTGCGAGGCGACGCAGCTAGCTTGACCTCAATTTGGACGGGGTCAATGCCTCTGAGAGGGCCGCCGAAGCGGGAGGCTGGAAAAAAGTATGCTCCTATATGAAAGAGTGACGATCCAGTCTCTTAACCTGAGCAAGGGTCGGTTTGTCGTGAAAGCAGTAATGGCATACAATTGGAAAACCGGAAAAAAAATCCTAGGCTCAACGGGCCAGATGTGCTGCTCGCTAAAGATCGAAACGATCTTATCACGAAAGTGGGTAGCTGACAAACTAGACCAGCATCGTGGTTACTTAGAAGATTAAACGACGACGACGATTAATATTGAACGGACAGCCGCCATGCTAATGACTGAAAACAGCCGTGGAAAGGAATCCATCGCGATCACCAAATGCTCCAATATGATCAGTCAAGCGTGGATAGGAACCTAGGCTTCCCCCTGACACCATCAGCAGCAGCAACAGCACCAAGCAGACCAACCTGCGTGCCGAAGACTGGATTCGGTTGTGGAGGGCACGCATGACCAATGGAGGCGAAAGGGGGAGCAGATCAGGTGACGCGGGAAAATGCATGGCCGCGGTTGCTAGTGTGAGATTGTGGTCCAGGAATTCGCTATGATTGTTGATTTGTTTATCGAGTGACCCTTTCAACGCGTACGCAGTTGTGACTGGCTTCGGGCACTGGAAGCCTCTTCTATATAAGTGGCGGGAAACTTGAGGGCGGTGGTGCTCCACCGCGAATTTTTGAATCTCACCAACTTCAAGGACATCAACCCAAGTCGCGGCCTGGTTGATTGTTCTCTTGGCTCAACTCTGAAACTGACTGGCAGGGCTCCGTTGTTCAGGCAGGTTCAAACAAACAGCACCAGAAGTCCATTTTGGTTGCAACAAATCCTGAATCTGATGATCCTAGTCGAATTTGGTTCTGCTTGCTGAACCCATTCCTCTTACCTCTTGCTGTTGGTTCCTGATCTTTGACCATGATGATACATGAGCTAACACCTGACATGATGGAGTCCGCTGAAGCCCCTCCTTATGAATCGAATGAGTTCGAGCGTCTGGTTGAGGAGCTGGAACAAGGACCAAGCTCATTCGGACAGAACAAAGTTGATGCACTCGCTTCAGCAGCTAAAGCAATTTCGTCTAGTTGTGTTGCTGGAAAGACAACAGAGCTCTGGAAGCTCAGCTACCGAATATGGAACGCGTGTGTGGACATATCGAACAGAAAGGAGCTAACCACGTCTGAAAAGGAGAAGAATGCCAGACTCCGGAACATTGCCGCTGACGTCCTTCTGGCCGCTGGAGAGAGTACTGCCGTACACTCAAGCCTTTTAAAGATTGCAATGTTCTTTCAGAAAACGGGCTGCTTGTGGATTCAGCTTAGTCGGTTTGAGACCGCGGAGGCCTGCTTGGCGAAGGCTACTGAACTCTGCACCAAGGCCAAGGACGTAATCAAGGAAGACGATCCTGCCATTCAGCATGAGTTAACAGTTCTAAGTTTCGACGTTCACGTCGCCAGGGCCAAAGCTTCATGGGAAGTCAAACAGACTGCGCTGGCCAGTAACATTCTGGGTCGCGCTGTGCTTCTACTTCCACAGCTGCCAGAGAAATCCGTCGAGCTTGCTGATATGTACCTCCAGTTTTGAAAGGCTGTCTTGAACGCATCGTCTGGTTCTGAGAGCGCAGTGGACGCAACGCCCTACTTTGAGAAAGCTTTCGAAATATGTTCTGACGGCATTGTCAGTTTGCAGTTCGAAGGAAAGATTGCCTGCAAGAAGGCAATGGCGGATCTCCGCGACCGTACATTGAGATATCTGGCTGGAGCTCACGTCCAATGTGGCCGTTACGACGACGCACTCAAGTGCACGTCGATTCTCAAGTCAGGATTCCCCATCCATCCGAGTGTCCCTTTCTTGGAATTGAAGGCTCTTTCTGCACTTGGGAAGCATGATGCAGCTGATGAAGAACTATCTAAGCTCACCAAGGGAGACACAGCCAAAGTCGATATTGTGGGTGCAGCAATCGAAGTCATCGTAGCGTCGGGAAGCTCGAGTTCAGTTTCAGCTGCTAAAACGGCATTCTTCAACACACTGAACAAATTTCCCAACTGTGGAAAATTCTCGCGTCAACTTCTTACCACTCTTGTCCAACAAGGAGCGTCGCGCCTGGCGTGTGTGGAAGCAGCCATTGAGATAGGACAGGACGACAGGGTGGTGGCATCCTTGATATCAAAGAGCAAAAGCTTGGGAGTCTTGGTTCACGATGACAGCAGCGATCAACATAGCGTCCACGCGCTCTTCTGGAACTGGTGTTGTTCGCATTCGTTTTTCTCCTCGAAACGAGTTGTGCCAATCTTCTGACTTTCCTAATCTGGCTGCTGCAGCGGTTCTGAACAATTCTCGCGAAAGAATTACACCATGAGTGTGAAGCTGTTCGAAACGAGTCTGCTTTATCTTGACGACGGCAGGCAAGAGCAACGCGCTAAAGCACTTCGTGTTATTTGTCTCTGTCACATGGGGTTGCTTCAGTATGATAGAGCTTCTGAGTGCATTCAGCTGGCTGAAGAGGTGAGAAAATGATGTTGCTGTAAAGCTTACAGAACCATACACTCACATGGACCTTTCTCGTTTTGCAGATTGATCCCTGCATTGCCTCAGTCTTCTTGAAGGTATGTTTCACGATAGGCATGGGTTTTTCCATCAAATTCCCTTAATAACCAACAACTTCTTGCAGTATAAAATATCGCTTCAACAAAAGAACGAGCCCAAGGCAGCCCAGGATGTCGAAAATATGTTATCCTGCAAGGATTTTGAGCCTGATTACCTCGCGTTGGCATCACATGAGGCTGTGGCAAGTGGGCAGAGCAGGGTTGCTGTTCAAGCACTTCGTCAGCTGCAGAAGCTTATATCTGCTGGAACTAAAGTTGGAATGGTCGAAGCGGTTGTGATCAGGAACATCATCACCCTGGTAACTGAGAAAGTCGGAAATATGGTTGAAGCTCTTGAGTTTTTCCAAGTCGCAATCACCAGGGCTGCAGCTATCGGTACTGAAGGATTCTTTGGTGAACCTCCTGCTGGACTCAAGGAGGCAAGCTGGTTCGCTGCATCAGCATGGAACCATGGCATTGAAGCTGGAAAGCATAAAATGTGGGGAGCATGCGCGTCTTTCCTGGCTTGTGCGGCTGAACTTTTTCCATTGCTGCCAGAGACACAAGAGACTCTGCAATCAACGAAGCTGTCTTTGCTTCTGGGTGGAGCAGCGTTATTGGCTGATGGCGATGCTAGTGAAGCCAGCATGAACAAGGCGGCAACAACACTTGAGAAGTGTCAAAAGGTGTGTATACTGCGCGTACTCCCAGCATTTTCTCCCTCACGTACCCATCCTCCTGCTTTTGCTCGGCCCTGTGACTAACAAGGTTCCATGGCAGATCATGAGCAAATGCAAGGCCGAAGGGCAAGACACTTCAAGCACTTTTTTCCAACTACTCATGTTTGATGTGAAAGGCCGGCAGAAAGATTGCAAGGGGCAGCAGGAGATCATCGAAAGATGCAGAGCCATGCCTGGTTTCAAGGCTGAGCACTTTTTCCAGATGGGCCTGCATTCAGCACGTGATTATGCAGACAGCACTGTGGCAAGTGCAGCATTCAGTGCAGGACTTCACCTGATGATGACCAGCAAGTCGCCTGACTACAGGGTGGTAGCGGCAATGTATCGGAAGCTCATATCTCTGGCAGATATTCAAACCAGGGACGGTGTGCAAGTCTATGATCTATACACTGAAGCATACCAGCTCCTGGTTGGTCTGCCAGCTGAAGCATACCCTAAGGATGAGCTGCACTGGCTGATCTCAACTGCATGGAATCGGGCTCCTACTTGCCCGTTTCCGACGATTTGAGGAGGCAGAGAAGTGGATGAGGCTGGCTATGAAGCTTGCAGAGCATGCCCCATCGATGGAGTCGAGCAGGTCCATGATGTCAGAAGCAGTAGCTGAGGTTGAGCAGATGAAAGCCCAGGAGTCCAACCCTATGGAAGAGTAGGCTATACCTTAGCTCCGAGCACCATATTTTATTCTTCAATGATTTTGCAGTACCATGTAATTCGCCTCCAGGTTTTAAGCATGCTCTTTGAAAGGTAGACTGGATCTTACGATGTCGAATAGAGTCGTGCTAACTAGAATACCAACAGTATAGCATGGAAACAGTCTCAGGCTGGCAAGCACCTGCATTATCTTCTAGGTTTTATGCCTAGAGATGCACCATCAGGGTCTTTTGAACATAAGATTCCATGCATGCAGACCCGGGAGTGAACGATGGTAGCAGAGGCTGATGGAATGAAACAGGTGTACTGGTACCTGTCTTAACTTCTGAAAGAATTATAACACTATTGTATTGATTACACAAATGCCATGACTAAAGATGCAACAAGAAGCAAGATTACATCCATTACAATCATCCCTATAGCATCAAAAACATACTTCGGCGCAAACAAAGACCACACCTGCAAAGCAACAGATTACTTGATGTTAGCAGCAAGTTAGGATCTCAAATAAAAACACATGTCAGTGCTGCTGCTTGATTACCATAAGATGGCGTCGCATCCCAGCAACAAATGCTGTAGTTGTGAATGTAGCCAGCACTCGGGGGAAGAGGAACAACAAAAAAGCCTGCATAGAAGCAGTGGTTGCAGAGAGGGCATGCCATTTTGAGAAAGCACATACACTAGGAAGAAAATAATGGACTAGAAAAGTGCCCACCTTCATTGATTTTTGTGTCAGCGAGTCCAGAGTTCGTGGATGTGCCAGTAAAGCCAAAAGAGGTACGGTGAGGGCTGGTATGAGGTGGGAGAAGCCAAATGTGTCTAGAGCTAGCAAGCCTCCCTGGCGATGGTACTGGAAGTCATTGAACCTGCGCAGAGAAACATTGATTGCTAATTGAACCAGCTGCCAATGGTACTTTGAGCAGGAAAAACGCGGAGAATGTGACAAGATTTGGCACAGGTCGAGCTACGTACCCAACGAAAGCAGCCGTATACCTCAATCCATCAAATGTGCACCTGAATAAAACACACAGCAAGAATATGTCCACACGAGCAAGATACAGGATACATAAAACCGAAATAGTTGATGCTGGAATGCAAGTGGAGTGTGTAGTTGTAATTACACTGCTGCGCAATACTATCACCCACAACCACTCACGCATGGCCTGAGGCAAAGAAGAGGAGGAAGGAAAGCAGGCTCCACTCAACACAGCACAGGATGAATGATGGGACTGAAGCATGGCTGTAACTCAGGCTGAGAAAAAGCATCCCTGTGGGTGAAAAGGAAACAGCAGGAGGAATGGGGGAAGCCCCCATAGTGGGAAGGAGGGCACAACGGATTCATAGGGAGCCTGCTAATTGGAGAGAGGAAATAAGGACGAAAAAAATCCAGAAGTCCCAAATTGGAACAGGTCAAGTGGTTACTGTGCGGGCTAGCTTCAAATCAAAGCCATGTCGCTGTTCTGGCGGATTCCTAGGAGGGCAGCCACATACCTTGGAGGATGGCGAGCAGCAGAATTATGGGGATGGACCGACCACCGACAATTATAATGGGCACGCCAAACAGTCCAATCAGATGTATAAGCGTACGGCCAAGCTTCTGCTCTTGTGCTTGCTGCTGTTGCTGCTGCTGCTGCTGCTGCTGCTGCTGCTGCTGCTGCTGCTGCTGCTGCTGCTGCTGCTGCTGCTGCTGCTGCTGCTGCTGCTGCTGCTGCTGCTGTGCACTGTTGTACACAGGAAATTGCTGCGGTGACAAGACCTGACCATTGTGCTTCTTCTCAAACTCTGGAGCCTTTTCAACAGTCCTTACGGCACCACCCTTCATCTTCTTCCTGCTCTTCCCACTCCCCTCGTCCTTGCGTCCACCAGCAACAGGAGTAGCAGCAGCAGCAACGGGTACCCGCAACGTTTTTGAGAGAAAGCGGCAGAAGAATCCAGTGGCCAGCATGAGGAGAGTGAGGGTAAAGAAAAGGAGAGAGGATGCAAAGACAAGGCGAGGGACACCCAGGTGTATCGCCTCTTGCAAGGACGAAACTGGGAACATTGCTTCGAGGTAAGCCAATGTCTGCTGCTGGAAGCTGCCTTGTTGCTGCTGCTGTGGCTGTTGCAGCAGAGAGTAACCAGAGAGGAATGCAAGGGATGAAGGCGAATCATGGAGCAACCAGAGGAAAGCTAGCAATGCATAGCCAACCCACATGCCCAGCTGTGGTACTAGGGCAGCAAGTGAAAAAAACATATGCCCGAGCTCTTGTAATGCTGGCTGGTGATTTGAAGATTGATTGGCTTTGGTGGTGGATGGCTGGGTGATGGGAGGGGATCGACGAAGGGCAGAGAGGAGGGAGGTTGAGAGAGCGTGGAGGAGAAGGGGAACTAGAAGCAGTGGAGCATAGGAGAGGAACATGGAAGGAAGGACGTGGAGGAAGTGGGAGGAAGAGAGGGCTCCTAGGGCTGCTGCTCCTGTGGCAGCACCAGACGCAGTGGAAGCAGCAGGGGAAGCCGAAGGAGCAGAAGCAGTAGCAGCAGTGGTAGCAGTAGCAGCTGTCGCATCTGCACTTGCAGCGGCCTGGTTGGAGAGCTTGTGCGAGGTGGAGAGACCCAGGGCAATGAGCAAGGCGTTGACTAGCAGCAGAGAGCAGGCCTGCAGTGAGAGAAGGGATAGGGGAGTATATGAAGGAGTAGGGAGGCATGGGAAGGGGTAGGGGGGCATGGGAAGGGGTATGGGGGCATGGGAAGGGATTGGAGAGCTTGTGAGAGGCGGAGAGACCCAAGGCAATGAGCAAGGCGTTGACTAGCAGCAGAGAGGAGGCCTGCAGTAGCAGAAGAGATTGGGGAACGTGGGAAGGGAAGGAAATGCGAAGCTGGGTGCTACCACAAATAACCCTGCTTCAAGCATACTAGTCCTGCTTCTTTGCTACAAATTCCACTCTGGTAACACATGTGGTTTTCAGGGAAGAAGGCGACTATAGCTTACTGTGATTTGAACCTTTTCAAGCACTTAACAGAGGGTGTGGGGGAGGAGCAACAGCACAGGAGGGGAACAGAAGACCAATTAAGGAGCACAATGCAGAAGTACAGTACACTGCAGGAGAACATTCCAGAAAAAAACCCAGGAGAGTTCAAGTGCACTGCTGTACGAGGGAGAGTTCAGCAGGGTACCTGCACAACGCCCCTCCAGCTGCCCGCCACGAGGGATTGCCTCAGGTGAAGCAGTGCTGACGTGGCCAGCAGGAAAGCCGTGACGTGTCCCTCCGCCACTGGGGAAACCGGGGGGAGAAAGAGTGCAAAGAGGGGGGACAGGAGGAGAGGAGAGGAGAGGTACAATCAATGGGTACGAATCAAGAGAGGAAGGATGGGTACGAATCAAGCGGGGGGGGTAAGAATCAAGGAACGAAGACTTGAGTCGAGTCGTCGAGAAATAAGCAAGGATGTGCAATGCTGAGATGGATCATAGAGCATTGGGGATGGGTCGAAGGGTCCATGGGCTGAGCTTTGCGCGCACAGGGATTGTAGCAAACCGCCAGATGTTAAGACAGCTCAAAATGTTGAGACGTCTCAGTCCTGAGATGTCTGAAAGAAGTCTTAAACCTGACAAGCTTGCTAGAAAGGGCCTAGGCTTAGGCTTAGGCTTCTAGCAAGCTGCACCAGCTTTTCAGCCCAGGCAAACCAGGTGGTCCAGTGCCTCTCGCCCTTCTTGCCACTGCTCCCCACCATGTTTACAGGTCCGGCAAACCAGGTGGTTCGAGCAGTGGCAGGAGTTGAGGGAGTGAGAGAATGTTTGAGTGAGTGAGCGAGGGAGGGAGTGGGGGAAGAAGTGAGTGAGCGAGTGTATGAGTAAGTGAGAGAGCATACTTATGAAACTGTTGGAGTTGAGACTGAGGGAGTGCATGAGCACCATCACCATAGCCCACAGCACCATCCATATTTGCCCATGACTAGAAGCACCGCCAGCACCACCAGCATTACCACCAGCAGCAGCAGCAACAACGTCACCACCACGAGTGGCAGATGCAGCAGCATCACCATTGTCAGCACGAGCAGCAGCAGCAGAACCGAAACCAGCAACATGAGGGGCGATGCACCAGAGAATAAGCAGCAGGTGGAGAAGCAGAGAAAGGAGGAGGAGAGCGAGAGCAGAGAGCATGGAAGTGATACCGAACTGAGTCCATTGGGATCTAGCCAGAGCAGCAGCGGCATCGAGATATGCGAGATGGGCTTGAATGGAGGAGGTGAGAGAGGAGGAGCGGGAGGGTGTGGGAGAGGAGGAGGAGAGAAGAGGGGTGGCGGTGGATTGTGCGTGGGTGTAGAGTTGTTGCAGGTGGGAGAAAGGCTGGTGGGGAAAGGGAGAGGGGGCTTCGCTGGAGTAGCGAGAGAGATAGCGATGCACCTGGGGAGAGAGGGGCGGGGAGGGAACGGCAAAGGGAGAGTGAGAGAGGAGAGGGAAGGGGATGGGTGGAGATTTTACTTTTGATCCACCTTGAAAAGAGAGATAGGGATGGGGAAGAACATGGGGAAGGGATAGGAAGGGAGAGGGAGAGAGGGGAGGGAGAGAGGAGAGGGAAGGGAAGGGCACAGGAATGGAGAGTGAGAGATGGGAGGGAGTGAAGGGAAAGGGAAGGGAGGGTGAGAGAGGAAAGGGGAGGGGATGAGTGGAAAGTCTACTTTTGAGGTGCTTCACACAAACACCAAGCATCTAAAAAAAGCACCCCCATGCACATCCCACGACATGCACATCCCACCCCATGCACATCCCACGACATGCACATCCCACGACATGCACATCCCACCCCATGCACATCCCACGACATGCACATCCCACCCCATGCACATCCCACGACATGCACATCCCACGACATGCACATCCCACCCCATGCACATCCCACCCATGTGCACCCCACCCCATGCACATCCCACCCATGTGCACCCCCATCCCATGCGCATCTCACTTTATAAGCATCCCCAACCCATGCTCACCTGCCAGGCGTTCATCATGAGAGCAGAGGAGAGGCGCGAGAGGAACGGCACAGCTGGGTCGGCCGTGCTACCTTCCTTAGTGTGTTTTTTTGAGTCCGGTTCTGTGTGATTGCATGTGTGTGCTGCTGGTGGTTGCAGGGGTTCCCAGGCGGCAGGGGAGAGTGCAAGCATGTGCGGGTTGACCTTGCCCACACTGTAGTGATGGGGAAAAGCGGGAGGGGAAAGGGAGGGGAGAAGATGGAGGGCAGATTGTGTTAATGCGTTGTTAGAGTTGAATTTAATAGAGTCGACCCACAAGAGGGGACCGGGTTGGGTCTTGAGTGGACTAGATAGTGGTTCCCAGGCGGCAGGGGAGAGTGCGAGCATGTGCAGATTGACCTTGCCCACGCTGCATTGATGGGGAAAAGCAAGAGGGCGAGGGGGGAGGGGAGAGGGAGCGTGTGGGGCGGTGAACAGAGATGTTGCTAGACAGAGCAGATGGATTTGGAACTTAAGTCAACTGGAAAATGCTGTGATAAAGAAGTTGTCAGGACGAGGGACAGGAGGGAAGGGAGAGGGGCAGAGGAAGAGTAGAGGAAAGAGGCGGGTAGAGGGCAATAGTAACATGTGAGCAGGGGTTTGTGCATGCATATGGAGATGCTAAGCATGCATATGGAGATGCTAAGCATGCACATGGAGATGCTAAGCATGCACATGGAGATGCTAAGCATGCACATGGAGATGCTAAGCATGCACATGGAGATGCTAAGCATGCACATGGAGATGCTAAGCATGCACACATGCATGCACACGATTGTACATGCACGTGTGGAGTGGAATGTCTACCTGGCGAAGGGGATGGGAGCACCCAGTAGAACGGAGAGCGTTGGAGTGAAATCAATCTGCACAAGGAGAAGGGGAATGCACGCAAGGAATCTTGGTCACGTGAATGCACACGCACACGTCATGAGAGCAGGAAGGAAGTTCAATCTGCAAAAAGACAGATGGCATGTTCACATGGCATGTGCAAAGGCGTGTTTTGAGACGTCTCAAAACATGTTCACATGGCATGTGCAAAGGCGTGTTTTGAGACGTCTCAAAACATGTTCACATGGCATGTGCAAAGGCGTGTTTTGAGACGTCTCAAAACATGTTCACATGGCATGTGCAAAGGCGTGTTTTGAGACGTCTCAAAACATGTTCACATGGCATGTGCAAAGGCGTGTTTTGAGACGTCTCAAAACATGTTCACATGGCATGTGCAAAGGCGTGTTTTGAGACGTCTCAAAACATGTTCACATGGCATGTGCAAAGGCGTGTTTTGAGACGTCTCAAAACATGTTCACATGGCATGTGCAAAGGCGTGTTTTGAGACGTCTCAAAACATGTTCACATGGCATGTGCAAAGGCGTGTTTTGAGACGTCTCAGAACATGTTCACATGGCATGTGCAAAGGCGTGTTTTGAGACGTCTCAAAACATGTTCACATGGCATGTGCAAAGGCGTGTTTTGAGACGTCTCAAAACATGTTCACATGGCATGTGCAAAGGCGTGTTTTGAGACGTCTCAAAACATGTTCACATGGCATGTGCAAAGGCGTGTTTTGAGACGTCTCAAAACATGTTCACATGGCATGTGCAAAGGCGTGTTTTGAGACGTCTCAAAACATGTTCACATGGCATGTGCAAAGGCGTGTTTTGAGACGTCTCAAAACATGTTCACATGGCATGTGCAAAGGCGTGTTTTGAGACGTCTCAAAACATGTTCACATGGCATGTGCAAAGGCGTGTTTTGAGACGTCTCAAAACATGTTCACATGGCATGTGCAAAGGCGTGTTTTGAGACGTCTCAAAACATGTTCACATGGCATGTGCAAAGGCGTGTTTTGAGACGTCTCAAAACATGTTCACATGGCATGTGCAAAGGCGTGTTTTGAGACGTCTCAAAACATGTTCACATGGCATGTGCAAAGGCGTGTTTTGAGACGTCTCAAAACATGTTCACATGGCATGTGCAAAGGCGTGTTTTGAGACGTCTCAAAACATGTTCACATGGCATGTGCAAAGGCGTGTTTTGAGACGTCTCAAAACATGTTCACATGGCATGTGCAAAGGCGTGTTTTGAGACGTCTCAAAACATGTTCACATGGCATGTGCAAAGGCGTGTTTTGAGACGTCTCAAAACATGTTCACATGGCATGTGCAAAGGCGTGTTTTGAGACGTCTCAAAACATGTTCACATGGCATGTGCGAAGGCGTGTTTTGAGACGTCTCAAAACATGTTCACATGGCATGTGCAAAGGCGTGTTTTGAGACGTCTCAAACATGTTCACATGGCATGTGCAAAGGCGTGTTTTGAGACGTCTCAAAACATGTTCACATGGCATGTGCAAAGGCGTGTTTTGAGACGTCTCAAAACATGTTCACATGGCATGTGCAAAGGCGTGTTTTGAGACGTCTCAAAACATGTTCACATGGCATGTGCAAAGGCGTGTTTTGAGACGTCTCAAAACATGTTCACATGGCATGTGCAAAGGCGTGTTTTGAGACGTCTCAAACATGTTCACATGGCATGTGCAAAGGCGTGTTTTGAGACGTCTCAAAACATGTTCACATGGCATGTGCAAAGGCGTGTTTTGAGACGTCTCAAAACATGTTCACATGGCATGTGCAAAGGCGTGTTTTGAGACGTCTCAAAACATGTTCACATGGCATGTGCAAAGGCGTGTTTTGAGACGTCTCAAAACATGTTCACATGGCATGTGCAAAGGCGTGTTTTGAGACGTCTCAAAACATGTTCACATGGCATGTGCAAAGGCGTGTTTTGAGACGTCTCAAAACATGTTCACATGGCATGTGCAAAGGCGTGTTTTGAGACGTCTCAAAACATGTTCACATGGCATGTGCAAAGGCGTGTTTTGAGACGTCTCAAAACATGTTCACATGGCATGTGCAAAGGCGTGTTTTGAGACGTCTCAAAACATGTTCACATGGCATGTGCAAAGGCGTGTTTTGAGACGTCTCAAAACATGTTCACATGGCATGTGCAAAGGCGTGTTTTGAGACGTCTCAAACATGTTCACATGGCATGTGCAAAGGCGTGTTTTGAGACGTCTCAAAACATGTTCACATGGCATGTGCAAAGGTGTGTTTTGAGACGTCTCAAAACATGTTCACATGGCATGTGCAAAGGCGTGTTTTGAGACGTCTCAAAACATGTTCACATGGCACGTGCAAAGGCGTGTTTTGAGACGTCTCAAAACATGTTCACATGGCATGTGCAAAGGCGTGTTTTGAGACGTCTCAAAACATGTTCACATGGCATGTGCAAAGGCGTGTTTTGAGACGTCTCAAAACATGTTCACATGGCATGTGCAAAGGCGTGTTTTGAGACGTCTCAAAACATGTTCACATGGCATGTGCAAAGGCGTGTTTTGAGACGTCTCAAAACATGTTCACATGGCATGTGCAAAGGCGTGTTTTGAGACGTCTCAAAACATGTTCACATGGCATGTGCAAAGGCGTGTTTTGAGACGTCTCAAAACATGTTCACATGGCATGTGCAAAGGCGTGTTTTGAGACGTCTCAAAACATGTTCACATGGCATGTGCAAAGGCGTGTTTTGAGACGTCTCAAAACATGTTCACATGGCATGTGCGAAGGCGTGTTTTGAGACGTCTCAAAACATGTTCACATGGCATGTGCAAAGGCGTGTTTTGAGACGTCTCAAACATGTTCACATGGCATGTGCAAAGGCGTGTTTTGAGACGTCTCAAAACATGTTCACATGGCATGTGCAAAGGCGTGTTTTGAGACGTCTCAAAACATGTTCACATGGCATGTGCAAAGGCGTGTTTTGAGACGTCTCAAAACATGTTCACATGGCATGTGCAAAGGCGTGTTTTGAGACGTCTCAAAACATGTTCACATGGCATGTGCAAAGGCGTGTTTTGAGACGTCTCAAAACATGTTCACATGGCATGTGCAAAGGCGTGTTTTGAGACGTCTCAAAACATGTTCACATGGCATGTGCAAAGGCGTGTTTTGAGACGTCTCAAAACATGTTCACATGGCATGTGCAAAGGCGTGTTTTGAGACGTCTCAAAACATGTTCACATGGCATGTGCAAAGGCGTGTTTTGAGACGTCTCAAAACATGTTCACATGGCATGTGCAAAGGCGTGTTTTGAGACGTCTCAAAACATGTTCACATGGCATGTGCAAAGGCGTGTTTTGAGACGTCTCAAACATGTTCACATGGCATGTGCAAAGGCGTGTTTTGAGACGTCTCAAAACATGTTCACATGGCATGTGCAAAGGCGTGTTTTGAGACGTCTCAAAACATGTTCACATGGCATGTGCAAAGGCGTGTTTTGAGACGTCTCAAAACATGTTCACATGGCATGTGCAAAGGCGTGTTTTGAGACGTCTCAAAACATGTTCACATGGCATGTGCAAAGGCGTGTTTAGAGACGTCTCAAAACATGTTCACATGGCATGTGCAAAGGCGTGTTTTGAGACGTCTCAAAACATGTTCACATGGCATGTGCAAAGGCGTGTTTTGAGACGTCTCAAAACATGTTCACATGGCATGTGCAAAGGCGTGTTTTGAGACGTCTCAAAACATGTTCACATGGCATGTGCAAAGGCGTGTTTTGAGACGTCTCAAAACATGTTCACATGGCATGTGCAAAGGCGTGTTTTGAGACGTCTCAAAACATGTTCACATGGCATGTGCAAAGGCGTGTTTTGAGACGTCTCAAAACATGTTCACATGGCATGTGCAAAGGCGTGTTTTGAGACGTCTCAAAACATGTTCACATGGCATGTGCAAAGGCGTGTTTTGAGACGTCTCAAAACATGTTCACATGGCATGTGCAAAGGCGTGTTTTGAGACGTCTCAAAACATGTTCACATGGCATGTGCAAAGGCGTGTTTTGAGACGTCTCAAAACATGTTCACATGGCATGTGCAAAGGCGTGTTTTGAGACGTCTCAAAACATGTTCACATGGCATGTGCAAAGGCGTGTTTTGAGACGTCTCAAAACATGTTCACATGGCATGTGCAAAGGCGTGTTTTGAGACGTCTCAAAACATGTTCACATGGCATGTGCAAAGGCGTGTTTTGAGACGTCTCAAAACATGTTCACATGGCATGTGCAAAGGCGTGTTTTGAGACGTCTCAAACATGTTCACATGGCATGTGCAAAGGCGTGTTTTGAGACGTCTCAAAACATGTTCACATGGCATGTGCAAAGGCGTGTTTTGAGACGTCTCAAACATGTTCACATGGCATGTGCAAAGGCGTGTTTTGAGACGTCTCAAAACATGTTCACATGGCATGTGCAAAGGCGTGTTTTGAGACGTCTCAAAACATGTTCACATGGCATGTGCAAAGGCGTGTTTTGAGACGTCTCAAAACATGTTCACATGGCATGTGCAAAGGCGTGTTTTGAGACGTCTCAAAACATGTTCACATGGCATGTGCAAAGGCGTGTTTTGAGACGTCTCAAAACATGTTCACATGGCATGTGCAAAGGCGTGTTTTGAGACGTCTCAAAACATGTTCACATGGCATGTGCAAAGGCGTGTTTTGAGACGTCTCAAAACATGTTCACATGGCATGTGCAAAGGCGTGTTTTGAGACGTCTCAAAACATGTTCACATGGCATGTGCAAAGGCGTGTTTTGAGACGTCTCAAAACATGTTCACATGGCATGTGCAAAGGCGTGTTTTGAGACGTCTCAAAACATGTTCACATGGCATGTGCAAAGGCGTGTTTTGAGACGTCTCAAAACATGTTCACATGGCATGTGCAAAGGCGTGTTTTGAGACGTCTCAAAACATGTTCACATGGCATGTGCAAAGGCGTGTTTTGAGACGTCTCAAAACATGTTCACATGGCATGTGCAAAGGCGTGTTTTGAGACGTCTCAAAACATGTTCACATGGCATGTGCAAAGGCGTGTTTTGAGACGTCTCAAAACATGTTCACATGGCATGTGCAAAGGCGTGTTTTGAGACGTCTCAAAACATGTTCACATGGCATGTGCAAAGGCGTGTTTTGAGACGTCTCAAAACATGTTCACATGGCATGTGCAAAGGCGCTTGGCAGGTGGGGTCGGGGCCGTGGGTGGAGGCAGCACCACCAGTCACATACCATGAGCAAAGGAGGAGAGGATTTCAGGCAGCGAAACGTGCTTAATAATATTAATATTATATGCTCTACCCATCTCTGTTTGCGCCCATGCTTGAACATGCTATACCCGCCTCTCTTCCACTCCCTCTCCTGCCCTCCACTGTCCAACTCCGCACCCCTCCCCTCCCCTTTCTTTCCCTACCACCACCCAGTTATCCCTGTAACCGCTCACCTGCGGAAGCTCCTCGAAGCACTCCTCGGCCTGCTCACCACCACCGTCTCCACCACCACCACCGCCAGCCCTTTGCTCCATGTCCTTTCCCCCTTCTTGCTCCTGCAGCAGGGTGAAAGAGGTGAAGGGCGATGCAAAGGGCAGGGTTGCACTCAAGGAAAGGGTGTGTTTGTATTTGGGGTGTTCAATCTAGTAATGGGGCAATTTGGGTATTTGCGGCGAATTGAGACATTTTAACAATAAGTGGGCGAGAGAAGAGCTGTGCTCTAAATAATGCTGAACACTGAAACAAGATGGTGGGGTTGTGAGGGTGAGAATTGGCCATATTGAATTAGGAGTTTGGGTATGCTCGCCTGGAGATACATGGCAGGTGGTCAAGAGGGTGGGACGTACAGGGGAGGGGCAGGCAGAGAGAAAGGTAGGGAGAGGGTGCGGTGCTGGTTGCATGGAGACTGCGAGGAGGAAGGCATGAGCCTGGTGGGCGGGAAGGGGGGGCACAGGATGGAGCATGGAGGAAAAAGAAAAAGGTGGTGCTTTTAAACTTGTGTGTGGGGACTGCGAGGAGGAAGGTATGTGCCTGGGTGGGCGGGGAGGGAAGATAGGGGATCTATGGAGCAGGTTGGGTACATGTTAGAGACGTCTGAAAACTGGTGTGTGGGGAGGGCAAATGCACACATGCAGGAATGAACCATGCAAGCATGCTCGCGCGTACGCACACAGAGCCAGCGCAAAGAGCACAGGCAGGCATGCCTTTGGGAGTGTGCGCACCCACACTCCCAGAGACAAACACACGCACCTACTCGGGTGTGCCCCCCACACGGTCCCCTGGGAGCGTCTGCCCATGGTCGCTCATAAAGAGCTTGTGGGTACAGGACAGGTGCAGGTGCGGGTCCGGGTATGGGTATGGGTATCGGCAAGCACAAGCCAAACTAACCCACCCACCTCTTCAGGAGTGCCTCCCCCATGGTCCCCTGTGAGCGTCTGCCCATGGTCGCTCATGAAGAGCAGCAGCGAGCGCTCGTGCCTGCCGCCCCTGTGTGCCTGTGCCTTCATTGCTTCCACCACGTCCTACCATGCGCCACCCACACACACACCACATGCATGCAGGGCCACATGCAGGCATGCAGGCATGCAGTCACACAGGCATGCAGGCACACAGGCATGCAGGCACACAGGCATGCAGGCACACAGGCATGCACACCCACATGCATGCAGGCACACAGGCATGCAGGCACACAGGCATGCACACCCACATGCATGCAGGCACACAGGCATGCAGGCACACAGGCATGCAGGCACACAGGCATGCAGGCACACAGGCATGCAGGCACACAGGCATGCACACCCACATGCATGCAGGCACACAGGCATGCAGGCACACAGGCATGCAGGCACACAGGCATGCAGGCACACAGGCATGCAGGCACACAGGCATGCACACCCACATGCATGCAGGCACACAGGCATGCAGGCACACAGGCATGCAGGCACACAGGCATGCAGGCACACAGGCATGCAGGCACACAGGCATGCAGGCACACAGGCATGCACACCCACATGCATGCAGGGCCATACAGGCATGAGCATACGCGAATGCACAGGGGGACCAGGCAAGAGAGAGGAGAGAGAGGGATAGGGATGGTGAGGACGTGGGAGCTGACAGAAGAAGGGCATGCATGTGGGAGTAGACAGTGGGGTAGGGGCAGTTGGTGCGCATGAGTGTGGATGGACAGAGCAGAAGGGAGAACAAATTCATAGAGAACGCTTACTAAACGATGGATGGTATGGGACAGCAGAAGAACAGCTGAGAATGGTGTGGTGCGGTGGTGCACGGGGATAGAGGCAAAGAGGTGAGGAGGGAGGCAGGCAGCACAGCTGAGGGGGTGTCGAGCAGGTGTGAGAGGATGCAAAAAGAAGCAGGAGTGGGGGGAGACGGACGAGGGGAAAGGAAAGTGAGTGGAAGGCAGGCGGGCAGGCAGGGCTAGGCGAGGAGGGGAGGGAGGCGATGGGATCATGGGGGAAAACATTTGTGAATTCATAAAAGGGAGGGGGGAACGCACGAGCATCATTTGGTTCATCTGATCGAGCTTGGTGTCCATAATTGGCGAGTCCACTGCAAAGGTGTGCCCCACGTGGTCCTGTGCACAGGGCAAGCGAGAAGTCGAGGGGAGGCAGAGGAGAGAAGGGGGGAGAGGAGGGGTAGAGGGAGGAGAGGGGGGAGAGGAGAAAGCGGGGACAGGAGAGGAGGACGGAGGGAGGGCGGAGAGAGGGAAGAATGGAAGAGAGAGGGAGGGGGTGAAGAGGGGGGATAGGACGGGGAAAGAGGAAGTTTGGCGGAGCATTATTTGGTTCATCTGGTCGAGCTTGTCATCCATGTAGGGGGAGATTGGGGGAAGATGGGGGGAGAGGGAGGAGAGGGGGAGACGGGAAGGGGGGGATAGGGGACGGGAAGAAAGAGAGGGAACGGGGGAAAGGAGGGAATAATGGTGAAAGGAGAAGGGAGGTTGGTGCATATGACTGGTGGATTTGACGCCTGGGAACGTGTCGTTGCGGTTCACAGAGCCATTGAGGATGGGCGGGGAGAAGAGGGGAGGGGAGGGGAGGAGGAGGAGGAGGAGAAAGGAGAGTGCGAAAGGGACATATGCCTATGCCACGACAATGACATGTCACATCCATGCCAGATGAAGTGACTCATCACCTCCACACCCATCCCATCCCATCCCATCCCATCCCATCCCATCCCATCCCATCCCATCCCATCCCATCCCATCCCATCCCATCCCATCCCATCCCAACCCATCCCATCCCATCCAATTCAAGCACCCAGCACATAGCATGGTTCACCCACCACGCCGAGGAAGTGACCAATGAGGAGGTCCCAGTCGTCGCGGTTGAGAGCTGGGAAGATGCTGGCCAGCACACCGTCATCCACCTGTGCCGCAACAAGGCAAGGGGCAATGGGCGCATGGGCACATGTAAACAACAAGACGGGAGGAGTATGGACACGAACACTAATCGATCTCAGTGGATTCGCCAAACAAGTCCAACTGTGTTGTCCAGTCCAGTCTGGTACATCCTCTCTTTCTCTCCAAAACGGAGAGTGAAAAGAGCTTCTCTACTGCATTACCTTGTTGGGCAATCTTAGTCTGTATTGCGTGCAAATAAGGTGTCTACAGGGCGGGGATTATGAGTCCAGAGACGCGCCTCCGCACATCTATCATAACATATCAAACAATCAAACAAGCTCTCGCTCACTCACTCACTCACTCACTCACTCACTCACTCACTCACTCACTGTGTGAATGTCCTTGACCACGAGGGAGGGGAAGGGCGTGGATCGGTTGAAGGCGGAGGGGAAGACGTCCAGCCATGTGTCATCACCCATCATCTCCAGGCGCCTCCCCACGCTTAGCAACTGCGCCCATGCACGCATACACACATGCACACATGCGCACGACACAGGACCGTCAAGAGGTAGGAGGTGGGAGGGTGATGGAGAGGAACGGGGTGGTTTTGAGGGTATCAGGATGGAAATCATCAGGGACGTTATGAGGGGACTGAGGGCTAGAGCAAGGGGTGTGTGTGACAAGACAAGGCAAGCATGGTGGAGTATGGATGGGCGATGGGACAGTGCAGAGTGGTGAAGTGTTACATAGAGTGGGCCATGCAGGAAGCGTGAATTGTCCTGTGCGATGTATCCTATAAAGAGGCACATTAGGACCTTGAAACTATGAACCTTGGAACACTGCAAAACACCTCAGAACAACGCAAAACACCTCAGAACACTGCAAAACACCTCAGAACACCGCAAAACACCTCAGAACACTGCAAAACACCTCAGAACACCGCAAAACACCTCAGGATACAGCACAAAAGAAGGCGCACTCTCTAGATATTACTCCGTCTCACCTGGAAGAGCAGGTTGTCCTCTGTGATGGTGTAGCTGCCGAAGCTGCTGCCCACATCAATGAACGTGGGCAGTCCACCTGTTGTGAGCCCCTGCACAGGCACGTGTGTGGTGCCATACCATGCACAACACCATGCATGCATGCACGTGTGTGGTGTACGCACATCAATCAACCATGCCATGGTTGCACGCAACACAACTTGATTTACTTCTATGTCACGATGCCGATGAGTGTCATGACATTGCGATGGTCATGCATGCATGGCAGTGTGACGAGTGCGTGCCAGTCAACGCAGGTGAATAGGGGACAAGATAGAACGCATGCATGGCATGAACTCCGCATGCTTCTTCCCACTCATCCACCCATCCACCCATCCACCCATCCACCCATCCACCCATCCACCCATCCACCCACCCACCCTTCCACCCTTCCGCCCAAGCACCAACCTTGATCCTCTGCAACGAGGTGGTAGGAGGGTCAGCAGTGAATCGGAAGAGAGCAGCACCATGCCCCATAGATTTCACTATCTCCCCCACCGCCTTCAACCGCCCTATCCACGATCCAGGCCGCCCTGAATGGGTATGATGAATCAGGATGTGGAACCAGGAATGCGTCGGGGAGGAGACAAGTTATAATAAAGTAAGAGGTGGAATTGGGAAGAGTGAGAATGAGAATGCGGGGGCGTGGGGAGGGTAAAGGGAGCAGGGAGGGAGGGAGCAGGGGAAAGTGCGGGGGGGGGGGGGGGGATGTCTTGCTTGCCTTGGTTATAGCTGGTGGTGTTGGCGACAAAGTCGAACCTCGCAGCATCAATCACAACAATCACAACCTTGTCATACAACGCATTTAGACCCCCTCCATCTTGCTCGAAGTCCTCGGTCCTCTGAGAATACCGATCCCCGTCATTCCCGTGGATCCCGCATTCGCCTCTTCCAATCCCCCCGCCAGAACCTTTTTTCCCTCCGGTTTCCCCCCCTTCTCCTCCGTCTGTGCATTTCAGAAATTCCCCAGTGCCTGATCGCCACGCCGTGCGATCTGAAGGCGTGCTTCGGACTGATAGCTCCACGCGCGTGAGGAGGAATCCTCGAGTGAAAAGAGCAATGGCTGCTGCATGCAGCAGCAGCAAGAGGAGGAGCAACGCCGGGAGAGAGATTGGTGAGGTGCGGTGGAGAGAGGCGGGAAGGGATGCCATGCTGGTTTGCTGGTGCTGATGGAAATGAGGGACACGAAGGACAGGGTTCGTCCAGGAAAACATAACCTATCTGCGAAGGAGAGGTGGAATTTCGAGGAAATGGCCGTGCCAAAAGAGTTTCATGTTTGGTGATTTTTTCGTGAAGGAAGTGTGCATGTAGAGAGATTGTGCTGTGTCCTGGTTAGATCGACAATCAAGGAAACATCATTGGGAGGGAACTGAGTGATTACTGTATTCTCTCTGAAACAGGTGGTAAGTGTGAATCTGACTGACATCATCCTCCAAAATTCAATTGACTTCACGATTGGTTGGATGGAAGGACTTCATGATTGGGAAAATATGTCAGAAGTAACCAACATGGGACTCGATAACGTGAATGGTAAAAAAGTAACGCATACGGTCACTGTATCGGGTTTGCTGACGGGTTTGGTAAGTGGGGTCACGGATTCAGTCACTAACAACAGGTAAAAAATCACGCGAATGGTTACAACTTCAGGTTTAGACGAGCACGTCAAGCAGAGTCCGTGCACCAGCACCTCTATACAGGATCGTAGACCAGCATCCTCTGCGGGGTTGTCGACAGCGTCCTCTGCAGGCTCGTCGACGAGCGTCCTCTGCGAGCTCATCGGCCGCGTCCTCTGCGGACAGGTTGACATCAAACTTAGCGGACAGTTCGACGTCGACTTCTGCGCGCGGTCGATGTCGTCTTCTGCGCGCGGTCGAGGTCGTCTTCTGCGCGCGGTCAAGGTCATCTTCTGCGGACAGGTCGACGGTGAATTCTGTGCGCAGTCTGCGTCGACTTCTGCGCGCACCCGACTGCGAAGTCTGCTTCTCCCAAGCGAGGGCGGGGCCATTTCCCGTCAACAAACTACACGTGAACACACGGGTGGTTTGATTGATCTTAGCTTGGCTTGTGTTCTCTAGCACTTGTGCGTTCACTTGGTAAAACAAAAATAGTTTTCACTAGCAAAAGTTGAAAACAACAATGATAGAAATTGCAATGGCAACAAATACTACGCCAGATGCAATGACGCCTAGTAGACAAGCAGGTCGACCGTCAGTGCAGCAAGGTTGGCAACTTGCCAGCATTGCAAGTCGATACCACAACCTTGCAAGTCGTTGGACTGCCAGCGCTGCACCAAGGCGGCTTGCCAATGCTGCAGAAGGGCGGCCTGTCAGCGTGGCAACCGCAGGTGACAGCATATGCGTGCACCTTATTCGCAGGTGTTTGTAAGCGGTTGACAACGACGTGCACCGTCACGCACATCATCCAGATGCCAAGTTGGCCACATGCGGACAGTTGTGCCTGATATGACACGTCGACCACGTGTTGCCACGTTGGTTGACTTCGCCACAACAACCTCGAAGATGATCTCACACCTCCGCAAGATATCGTCAACCAATCACTTGGTACATGCTTGTCAACCGCCCATGTCGACACCACCCGCATATATTTACCTGGTCGGTGTCTCGCGCACACTTCCAACGCAATCCGCGGGTAGCCGACACACCTCCTACGCACCCGGCTGCACTGGCGGCTTTGCCCAAGTGAGGGCGGGGACATTTAGCATCAACAATATCGTTGACCAAACATCTCATTCGTCACTAAGATAACCATCACCGTCCTTCTATGGCTCCATCTTAAAAGCAGCCTTTTTACAACCATTGTCGTCGTCAACTTCGTTTTTGTTGCCAGTCTTGTTGGCTCCTTCCTCCCCATTCAATCCTTCCACTTTCTTCCTCATTTAAGTGTCAGAATATGTTGTTTGTGTAGCCTGCAGTGGGGTACTCTATAGTGAGTACAGCCCCTTAGGGTTTGCCATTTGTATCCTGCTGCTTGCTAGTTCAATCATTCCTTCTCAATTCTGTTTCTACACACATTCCTAGCTCGTACTTGGCTCCTCGTTACTAGTCCTACTGTGGCCTAGGCTACTAAGCCTAGGCCGTACTCCTACTACTTCTGATATGGTATCAGAGGGCGGCATGTCTGCCGCCCTCCTGTGTATGGGCCCACCACCCGCTTCCGCTGCCGTACTGTCCGCCGCGCGCCCCGTGGTGCGCGGCGGCGAAACCCTAATTTCTGCCCGCCGCGCGCTCGGGGCGCCTGGCGGTTTTCCCTTCCGTGGCGCCCGTCGTGGTGCCCTTGGGGGGGCCTCCGCGGTCCCCTCCCGTCGAAGCGCCCGTCGAGGTGCTCTCGGGGACCCGCGCGGCCTCCCCCCCCGTCGCCCGTCGTGGCGACCACGGGGGCCGCGCGCGGTCCCCTCCCGTCGCCCGTCGAGGCGACTTCGGGGGCCGTGCGCGGCGCCCTCCCCGTCGCCCGTCGTGGCGACTTCGGGGGCCGTGCGCGGCCCTCCCCGTCGCCCGTCGAGGCGACTTCGGGGGGCCCGCGCGGCGCCCTCCCCGTCGCCCGTCGAGGTGGCTCTGGGGGCCCGTCGCGGCGCCCTCCCTGGTGCCCGTCGCGGCGCCCCGGGGGGGGGCCGCGCGGCTCCCTTCTCGTCGCCCCTCGGGGCGCCCTGGGGGCCGTGCGTTTTCCCCCCCCGCGGCCGCCCCTGGAGCCGCCCGCCACTGCAGCAGCAGCCCCTGGAGCCGCCCGCACCTGCAGCAGCCGCCCCTGGAGCCGCTCGCCAGTGCAGCAGCCGCCCCTAGAGCAGCCCGCACCTGCAGCAGCCGCTCCTGGAGCAGCCCACACTTGCAGCAGCCGCCCCTGGAGCAGCCCGCACCTGCAGCAGCCGCCCCTGGAGCAGCCCGCACCTGCAGCTGCCGCCCCTGCAGAAGCCCGTCCCCCTCCCCCCCCCCCCCCCCCCCTCCCCCCCCCCCCCCCCCCCCGTGCTGCCCATTGCTCCCATTCCACCGTGCGTTCCGCGGTGGTTGGGGTGTGGGGTGGCGAGCATGGGGGTGAGAGGTGTGGGTTCTCCCCTCCTCCTTTTTCGTCTCCCACTGCTGCAGCTGCCGCTGAGGGGGGTGGAGGTGTGGGAGTCGTGGGGAGTGGCACTAGGGGGGTGATGTGGGAATGGAGCTAGGGGTGAAACAGGGGGTGTGTGAGAGGGGTGTGGGACTGTTGGGGGAGGTTGAGTGGAGGCTGCTGTCTTGTCGTCCGCAGCACCTGTAGTCCGGGGCGCACTGTCCTGGTAGCTCAGAGAGCCTGCTGCACTTGTTGCCCGTGGGTCCGTTGCTCCTGCCGCTCGTCGCAGCCGCAGAGCCTGTTACTCCTGTATTCCGGGACGCACTGTCTCGGTAGCCACTGAGAGCCTGCTGCACCAGTCGCCCGTGGGTCCGTTGCTTCTGCCGCTCGTCGTAGCCGCAGAGCCAGTTACTCCAGTATTCCGGGGCGCTCTGTCTCGGTAGCCACTGTGTCAGCCGCCACTGTGGCAGCCGCTTCTGTTGCCCGTGTGTCTGCAGCTTCAGTCGTCGCCTCCCATCTTCTCTCCTTTCATAGTCCCTCCTCCTCCTCACTTGCCCTCTGTGATAGCCTCTAGCTTTGCTGATAATTATGAACTATTGCTATGACTGCTCATTGTGCTGATTACACCCCACTTTGGCTATGGGGGTGTGTCAGAATATGTTGTTTGTGTAGCCTGCAGTGGGGTACTCTATAGTGAGTACAGCCCCTTAGGGTTTGCCATTTGTATCCTGCTGCTTGCTAGTTCAATCATTCCTTCTCAATTCTGTTTCTACACACATTCCTAGCTCGTACTTGGCTCCTCGTTACTAGTCCTACTGTGGCCTAGGCTACTAAGCCTAGGACGTACTCCTACTACTTCTGATATTAAGATCCTTTTTCCATCAGCGCCAGATCAGCAGGTTACTCATGAGTCAGCAGATCTGCAGAGGATCTCGATGCCAGCTTCTCGTTCTGGTCCAGTGTTGATCAATCCTTCAGCGGGGACTGCGGAGGACTATTGTTCGCATTTTTCCCATGAGCCTTGTTTGTTATAAATTATAGATTTCTTATAACTGCCTGCTACTGTAGCTACTGTGTAGTGTTGCTCTTGTTGTTGGTGGTGCACCATCTTGCCCACCCTTGCTCCTACTTGTACCATTGTTTCTAATCAATCTACCCTCTTTTGCCTATCTTCTAGCCATGGTCTCCTAGGGTTTCTAACCTTTACCTAGGCTATTCTGACATGCTATCAGAGCAGGATCGTTCCTAGAGCCTTCTTCCTTGGGCCCACCATTGGCTTCTGCTATGGCGCAGTCCGTCAAGCTGCCCGTCGCGCACCCAGGGCGCACGTCGGTTTCAGCCCGTCGCGCACCCCGGGCGCGCGTCGGATTCTGCCCGATTCGAGCCCCAGGCGCGCGTCGGTTCCTGCCCGTCGCGCACCCCCGGCGCGCGTCGGCTCCTGCCCGTCTCGCACCCCGGGCGCGCGTCGGTTCCTGCCCGTCGCGCACCCCGTGCGCGCGACGGTTTCTGCCCGTCGTGCGCCTCGAGCGTGCGACGGTTTCTGCCTGCCCGTGCGCATTGCAGCCGCACGCGCAGCTCCTACCCCGCACCCCCCCTTCTCCTCCATTTCCCTTCTACCCAGCAGTTTGGGGGGGGGGGGGGGAGGGAGAGTGTGAGGGGGTGGCGGATGTGTTTCAGCAGCAGTAGCTGCCGCCACGCCTCCTCCTCTCTCACGGCTGCGCCTGCTGCTGGGGGGGGGGAGGGTGTGAGGGGGTGGTTGCACCTTTAGCGCCAGCCCGCCTCCTCTCCCTCACGGCTGCACCTACTGCTGTGAGGGGGAGGGTGAGGGGGTGGCGGACGTGTTTCAGCAGTAGCCACCTCCCCATATTTCAGCAGCAGCCGCCTTCCCCACCGCCTCTCTCCTACTGCCACACCCGTTGCTGTGGGGGAAGAGGCTGAGGGGGTGGCGGGAGTGTAGTCGAGCTACCACCGCCGCACATGCCGTCGCTGCATCTGCCAACCGTATACCTGCTGTGCTACTCTGATCTAGTGTCTCTGCACGTGGCTCTCACTACAGGCAGTTAGGGGGTGTGTCAGAAATTATAAATTTCTTATAACTGCCTGCTAGTGTAGTTACTGTTGAGATAGGAAAACAGGAATAATGAATGACCAGCAACAGGGA